GCATACAGAACTGGGGTACAGGCCAGACGTGCAGGGTGTGGTGAGAGGCTTCACCAGAGAGAGAGTGGGGAGCAGAACAGGCAGACTGATGAGGTATACTGCAGAGGGGAGCAGTGGGCAAGACAGGAGAGGTCTGCCACACCATGTGGGTCAGCTCCAAGACTCGGGGAATCAAACTAGTGCTGAAGCGGCTTTGGCTGGCTTCATAGTACTGTGTCTCAACCATTGTGCCACTAGGGAGGGCTCTCCCTGCTATTTCTGATGAATCCTCATGCACCCCCACCCCACACCTCGGCTTGCACCCCAGTTCTATGCAAAATTAAATAAATAAAATATTAAGAAAGCAAACAAGCAAACAGGACCCAGAGTGGGCGGCAGGGCAGACGCCAGATCTCCCGCCCTCTACCTTGCACCTGCTCCCCTGTGGGCTTTCCCTGGCTCATCTTGCCATCTCCTTTTTCACCCACTCTAAGCTCAAGATCTCCTTCAGCGAGACAGCCCTGGAGACCACGTACCAATACCCCTCTGAGAGTTCGGTTCTGGAAGAACTGGGTCCAGAGCCTGAAGGGCCCAGTGCCCCCAGTCCAGCCGCCCAACCCGACGACGAAGAAGATGAGGAGGAGCTGCTACTGCTGCAGCGGGAGCTCCAGAGTGGGCTGCGCACCAAAGCCCTGCTAGTGGGTGAGTGGCATCTCCACTGGCCCGAGGGCGTCCCCTGGTGTTGAGAGCAGGCACCGCGTCCAGGAGGGCCGTGGCTTCACTGTGGTGCTTGGAAGGGGCTTGCAGGAGCTCCAGCCCCATTGGCTCCTTAACGGGTGGAGAAACTGAGCTTCTGAGGACTCACATTGGGGCTCCAGATTTCAAAACCAGAATTTTTTTAAAGATTATTTATACATGCAGAACTGGGGTACAGGCTGGGGTCCAGAACAGGCAGGCTGACGAAGTACACTGCTGAGGCGAGCAGTGGGTGAGACAGCAGAGGTCTGCCTCGCCATGTGGGTCACCTCCAGGGCGGGGATTGAACTCCTACCCAAGCGGCCAGCTTCGCAGCGCTGCGCTTTAACTTAGCCTCTCCTGGGGCTGTTGAGAGGAAACACACTGTAGGAATACCTGGCATAGAATACTCGCTAATAGCAGCGCTGTTACTGGTAGTAACATGCACCATGGAAGTGGAAGCGTAATAAGACTTCCCGTGTGCCCACCAGCGTGAGTCAGGGCTGGGAAGGGGGCGGCAGAGGCCCGCACTCATGCTCCACGTCATCGTCGTCTTCTCTCCCACAGATGAGTCCTGCCGCAGGTGACCCTCCTCCAACCCAGGGCAAGCCCTCCCTCCTCCTCAGAACTGAAGGTCCTGGAACCCTGAAGATTCAGAGCAGACAGACCCTGAAAATGAGCCTGGCAGGGAAGGGCAGCCAGTGTCTTCCAACTTGTTTCCGTCTTCCTGTTTCTGGGGGCAGAGCCAATCACTCAATTTCCGCCCTTCTCCAGGTCCGTGTTGTGAGAGGTGCAGGTGTGCTGGTGTGTCCTGCGTGACCCAAGAGTGAGCACCGCGTCCTGGGGAGGAGCACAGAGCTTGTGGGGGGAGGAGATGGAGCATCCCCTCCACAGGCTGGGTACACGCTCCCTACAGTCACCCTTGACCTCCTGCCCCACTGCGGGCTGTCAGGATCAAGCACCCATCTCCCTGGGAGGCCTGGTCCCCACTCCGCTTCAGGCACCTCTCTCCCCTATTCCTGAGGTCACTGCCCTTTTGTTTACAGTTCCTACCTGTTCCCTCGACCACAGCCTGGTTTACAAGCCCCGCCAGCTCCAGCCTTGTCCGCCAAGGTCCCAGGTTTACAAGTCACACCTACTTGCCATGTCCATGTGAAATCCTCTCCCCTGCCCCCTGCAGTCACCTCATTTGAGTGACTCAGGGTGTGGCTTCTTCCACTTTTGTTCAGTATTTCTCCAAAAGGGGCAGCTGGAATCTGAACTCCACACCCTGCTCGAGTTATTTAATTCTGTTTTCCCTAGTGATTCAAAACTGAATTGAATTGCAAAGGTATGGGGTGGCTAAGGAGGCACCTCAACTGTCCCCCATTTTGTCCTTCCTTGTCAATTGCCTATTGTTTTTGTAAAACAACTTTCCATAATAAAATGGAGCTCTCTCTGACTCTTAAGCTGCTTCTCTGTTTCAGGGGGAAGATGTGCGATTGGTGGGGAGGCTCTGGGTTCCTCATTCCAAGCCTCCTCCACCTTCCTTCCTACTGGCCATGGGAGGTAGTGGCCACGGCTGTGTGGAGAGAAATGATGGGACAGCGCAGGGACTCAGCACTGCCATGCAGCAGGGCTCTGGGGGCCCCGGACCGGCTCCTTAGAGCCACTCAGAAGGCCTGGCGAGGAAGGGCACTAGAGGCGGGTGGCAGGCTGCAAGTGCCTGCAGGCAGGTCATACTGGCTGGGGGAAGGGAAGTGATGCTCAGGCTTTGGCGCCACTGGCCTGTGGCTATCACCTGTGGCCTTGGATCCAGGAGGCGCCTGGGAGCCTGGGCTTGGGGTTCACATGACTGGTGGTGGACACCTGGAGCCTGGTGTGGGCGTGTGTGAGTGTGCACACCTGAGCCGAGAGACTGAGGCTATATCACGCAGAAAACAAGGGCAAATCAGAAGGGCACAGGGTCTTCCCTGGTGGCGCGGCAGGTTAAAGTGTGGCACCGCTAGCCCCGTCTGCTTCACTGTGAGTTCGATTCCTGGCCCTGCGGCAGACCTCTCCTGTTCCACCCACTGTTCCCCTCAGCAGTGTACTTCCTCAGTCTGCCTGTGCTGCTCCCCGCTCTGTCTCTGGTGGATACTCTCACACCCACATACACACACATCTTGCCTGCACCAGATGTATAGGAATAAATAAATCTTAAAAAAAAAAAAAAAAAAGAGCAGAAAGAGTAAGGATTCCTGGCCCCTCAGAGCCATTAAAGGCCTGAAAAATCTACTGAGGACTTCAGGACTCTCCTTTACCCCTCTCCCAAATAAAGTGAAAACTACCCATGCTTTGCTTCCACTACACTGGGTTTACTGCAGTATCACCGTTCCTGGCATCGAACACATATATATATTCATTATTTCTAGAATGAATGAATAAATGGATAGTTTTTTAAGAATTAGAAGCAGAGGCCATCACGATTTGAAGGATTCCAGTATCCAGAAACTGCAGTGCAAACAGCCATTGTTTGACTGACGTCAGCATAAGAGAGATCATCAGGCTTTTTTATGTGTGTGTGAGTTTGTTATTTTTAAAGATTTAGTTATTTATGCATACAGAACTGAGGTACAGGGTAGAGGTGCAGGGGCCGTGAGAGGCTTCACCAGAGACAGAGCAGGGAGCAGAACAGGCAGGTCCACCAAGCACACTGCTGAGGGGAGCAGCAGGCGGGTCAGGAGAGGTCTGCCACGCCATGTGGGTCACCTCCGGGGCTGAGGATTGAACTTGCACTGAAGAGGCTGCGCCAGCTTACTGTGTCCTAACCCATGCACCACCAGGAAGGGCCTCATCGGGGTTTTTTAAGCCCTCCCACTACTAGTGTGGGTATCTGGAGTCGAGGGGTGTGGGCACTGGGACATGTTCCTCTGATTGTGGACACCTGGGCCTAGAAGGGAGGGCTAAAGGGGCAATCTCACCCTGAGACAAGGATGAGACTGTAGGATCCTGAGAGAGAATGCTGGAGAAGCCAGAAGGAAAGCACAAAGATGCCAGCCCTGCCTTGTCAGCCCCAGCCTGCCTGGCTGCCTGCCACTACAATATATTTATCTCAGCTCAGTAAGACGGGACTCCCCTTTACTAAAACCCAAAATGTGCTAGACAAATTAATCTTAAACATGGGGCCCTCCTTGGTGGTGCAACGGGTTAAAGCACAGCACTGTGACGCCATTTGCTGCCACTGCAGCATGAGTTCGATCCCCGGCCAGAAAGCTGATCCCTCATTTTTGAAACAAATAATTTTAAACATATATCAGAGGTTCTTAATTTACTAGCAAGGTGTTGATAAAGTAAGCCAGTGCACAGGGGGTTGGAGTGAAGAGAAACAACGCTCACGTTAGTAGCCAACTAGGTAAAGCTCCTAATCAGCTGTGAGCTGGGAAGGCCAAGAAAGGAAGCCCTTGAGATCCCAGTGGTGTCCACAGTCCATCTCAGAAACAGAAAATAAAGCATCCAAGAAGTCAGTGATATGAACTACCTGTGGCTGTTGATTGTAATAACATTTTCCAACAATGATTAATCCAGTTAATCACAGAAGTATGAAGCAGGGTCAAACAGAGTTCAGACTGACCAAGAGGCAAGGAGCAACCAGAGGTACAGCGGTGGGAATATTGCAACCACCAGTAAACTTTCCATGCTGCTGGTGAAAATGCAGAAAACAGTTTGCACTTCCCTCCTTAGGTGATGGTGATGTTTTAAATAACTTTGAGACAGTGAAACAGAGTAGCAAGGGACACTAAAATTGGCCAAGGACACTCCCCAGTTACTTTACCAGTCACCCTCTGAGTTCTTCACTCACGTGCATAATTACAAGACCACTCAGGTTCAGATGACTACTATAATGGGATTTATTTAACAAACCAAAGAAAAAGAGTTACTGAGGCTAAAAATGGCCATTAACCTCACCAGTGCTTTAAAATCCTAAATACAAATGCTCCCAAGATGGCATCTTCCCACGCTTAGGACACAGAGCACATGGCAGCCAGACTATAGGCCGGGGTCCAACTCACAAAGACACCACAGGAGATGCTCACAGAGCTGCCGAGGAGCCCCAGCCCAGCACCAGACAAGCGATACTCAAAGAGCAGCTGCAGTGGCCAAACCACCTGACAGTCAGCCACACTCACAGCTCAGGGAGTCCCCAGGCTCTGGGTATTCCCCTTCCCTGCCAGACTGTATCAGTAGTAAAACTGGGTCATTTGGAGTCTTTCAACTACTTGCAAAGCCTCTGAACTTATCCTCTCTGATAAGGTGGCTGCTGGAAACCTCTCCACGTCCTTCAGAGGACTCCAACAGCCCTCTGGAAAGATAGGTGCAGCAGGGGTAGAAATCGCTGACCCTGGAAACCTACGGGAACTACAATTGAGATGGAAAAAAAAAAGTAAAAATGTAAAATAAACTGTTATAAAATAAAAATAAAAATAAAGAAATAATAGTGATAAAAATGCAGATAAAATTCTTGTGCCCCCCCCCCACTGAACTGTCAATCTTAAGCAGGGTGACCCTTCTTAAAAAAAAAAAAAAAATCGCTGACCCTAGAATTGCTGAAGAACAGTAAACACTGAAGTCCTGAAAGCTGAATCCTGATGAGTCCCAGGGCAGCTTCAGGGACAGCACAGGCAGGCACTTTGGGAGAGTTAAAAGCTGGGGGCTGCTTTTACAGCCCCTTATATTTCTTACCCCAGTCTCCACTGGGATTCACACAATATTTGGTTTGGATTTTCCTTGGGTTTATCTATCCCCACCAGCACCCCACTCCAGGAGACACTACCTGTAACAGCCTTTGGCTTCAGCCACCGGTTAAAACATTACCAGTGTAAAACCAAAAAAAAAGAGGGCACCTTTGTTTTTTCCCCATCCCAAGTTTCTTCCTCACTTATCCTGTATTCACTCCATCCACAGGTACCATCCTCTCACAATCTTTCCTAATCAGCAAGGGCTCATCCTTAATAAGCAAGGATGATCTTTCCATCTGAAATAGACTCTACCCTCCTCCCCTATTTTCGGCTCCATAGAACTAAAGTATCTTGTCACCCCTCCCCCCCCTTTAATTCGATGTAAGCTGGTAAGAGATTACAGTCTGATTTGTTCCTGGTTGTATACCCTGAGACCAGCATTGGGCTAGCACGTGTGAGGAGCTCAGTGTTTGTTGAATGAATGAGTGAAGCACTGACCATCAGGGGGCGCCAGAGATTCGCACCGGCGGAATGAAACGAACGCGGAGCCGCGAGCGAGGTTTGATCGTGCTCGGCCACCGTAGAACCGTGGCCGGAAAACTGCGACTGCATCCGGCCTCCGGCCCTGGGAAGGCGACTTGGGCTGTCGGAACCGAGCCGCCCACTCCCAGGCCGCTGTTTGCGGAGGACTGGGCTTCGGCCCAGGGCTCCAGGCCTCCGAGAGGCCCAGCCGCCGGCGCGGCTGCTTGCGACGCTCGGGGCTGCGAAGAGAGAGCGTGGGTCACCATGACGACGCCGGCCGGGCTGGAGCGCTGGGTGCAGGACGAGCTGCACTCGGTGCTGGGCCTGAGCGAGCGCCATGTGGCCCAGTTCCTGATCGGCACGGCGCAGCGCTGCGCCTCGGCGGAGGAGTTCGTGCAGCGCCTGCGAGACACCGACACCCTGGACCTCAGCGGGCCTGCGCGGGACTTCGCCTTGAGACTCTGGAACAAGGTCTGGCAGGGTGCGCGGCTGGGGCCGGGCCTGGCGTGGGAACCACGGGGGAGGGGGCGGGGCCGGGGAGGGACCCAGGTCGGTATCCCGGTGGGGCTGGGCCAGCGGCTCTTGGGGAAAGTACGTAATCACAGGCTTTTACTCTTGCCAGGCTGTTGCGTAGGTGCTGTGCTAGGTGCCGGACATCCCGCTCAGGGGACACGACCCAGGAGGCCTTAAGACTGTTGGGTTACGTGTTACAGAGAACTGTTTCGAGTTTTAACCTGCGTCCAGCGATTCATCCAGTGTCCTTGTTAAAATGCCCTCCCTGTTGGTGCAGCGGGCTGCAGCGCAGCACTACGAAGTTAGCGGCAGCTTCCCTGGCCAGGGAGCTGACCCACATGGTGCAGCAGACCTCTCCTGACCCGCCCGCTGCTCCCCTCAGCAGTGTATTTCAGTAGATCTGCCTGTTCTACCCCCGACTCTGTGGTGAATTCTCTCACCCCCCTGCATCTCTGGACTGAACCCAACTTTTCTTGTATGCATGACTAAATCTTTTTTAATAAATGACAGATAAATTTAAAAAATGCAGGTCTAGGATGTGTGTGTGGGAATCTTAGTGTCAAGTTTCCGGGTGATGCCCTTCCCTGGACCTTTGAATAGCCAGGCTATAAGAGAGATGTATGGAAAGGGTTGTAGGAGACAGAAGAGGTGGGAGTGATGGTCAAGAAAAGCAGACCTAGAAATTCCCTGGAATTTGTCAGGTAGCGAAGGTGGAAAGAGTAAAGGTAGAAAGGAAGCTCCTGGAGAACAAGACTGTATTTCTTGTTTTTGTTTTCCTGCCACCTAACAGAGCATTTACAGAGCAGATGCTGACTGAATAGCTAGAAATGAAGGTGTTCGGCTTGTTCAAGTGTGGCAGATACCCTCTGGCGGGCCCATGTGGGGCTTGGCTACAGGTTAGAACATAAGGGTGGGAAGACTTACTGCTAGTCTGTTCACTGATTAATCTGATGCAGTGCCCGGTCTGTGACAGATCTCTTAAGAGGACAGTTCTTGTAGTAGCCCTTGTGTAGGAATGACTGGATATTGGGAGGAAGAGAGACTGAGCTATTGAGAATTAGGTTTGAGAATGTAAACTTCATGAGGGCAGGAGATTTTTTTTAAAGATTTACTTGTATTTATTTATGTGTACAAGAGTTGGGGTGTGGCTCAAAATTGTTGAGGGAGGATGAGAGAACTCACCAGAGACAGAGTGGGATTGACTGAGTAGAAGTGGCAGATTGACTGAAATATACTGCTGAGGGGAATAGGGGGTGAGACAGAAAAGGTCTGCTTTGCTGTGTGGGTCATCTCACTGGCTGGGAGTCTTAACTCATGTTGCAATGGCTGCTGCTACCTTCACAGTGCTGAGACTTAATTTCTGGTGCCACCGGGGAGTCCCACGTCATTCTTTAAATTAGCAACAGGGCAAAGTAGTTGGGCAGAGATCAGGAGTTGCTCATATCCCCTCCTTTTCTCCTCTGCCAACAGGTACCACGGAAGGCAGTGGTAGAAAAGCCAGCTCGGGCAGCTGAGCGAGAGGCCCGAGCCCTGCTGGAGAAGAACCGCTCTTACAAGTTGTTGGAAGACAGTGAAGAGAGCACTGAGGAAACTGTGGGCAAGTCTGGGAGCAGTCTCCAGAAGAAACGCAAAAAACGGAAACACCTAAGAAAGAAACATCAGGAAGAGGAAGAGGAAGAAGAGGAGGAAGAGGTATCTGAGAAAAAGAAAAAGACTGGGTAAGTCAGAAGTGTGAGTGGATGGGGCAGGTGGGTGGCCGGAAGCGGAGCCTGCTGTGTGGCCTTATTTAACCCTCTGGGCTGGGCCGCAGGGTGAGTGCACAGCAGACAGAAAAGCAAGAGTCAGAGGATGAGTGGGAGCGGACGGAGCGAGAACGCCTGCAGGACCTGGAGGAGCGAGATGCCTTCGCAGAGCGCGTTCGGCAGCGGGACAAGGACAGAACTCGCAATGTCCTGGAGCGGTCAGACAAGAAGGTGCGTGCACACTTTAAATCCCCAAGGAGGATCCCGGGTCCGATCTGCAGGTGCATGTGACTGCAGGCATTGTGGGAAGGCAAGGAGCCTCTTGTGCCCAGTTAACCTCTGTGGACCGTCTGCTAGGGTGACTCAGGCTGGCTGTAGAGATGCCTCACTGAGAAGGAGCATTTCTCGTTCATTTTATTTTTAAAGATTTATTTATTCATACAGAACTGGGGTACAGACCAGAGGTGTGTGGGGTGTGGTGAGAGGATTCACCAGAGACGTGGGGTACAGAACAAGTATATTGACAAAGTACACTGCTGAGGGGAGCAGCAGGTGAGGCAGGAGGTGGCCGCACTGTGTGGGTCACCTCTGGGATGGGGATTGTACTCGCACTGAAGTGCTGCAGCCAGCTTGCAGTGCTGCACTTTAACCCACTGTGCCACCAGGGAGGGCCCTCTTCTTTATTTTTTTAAAGATTTATTTTATTTATGCATACAAGACCTGGGGTGTGGCCCAGTATTGTAGGGAGGGGATGAGGATTCACTGGAGACAGAGTGGGGAGCAGAACAGGTGGACTGACTGAAATGCACTGCTGAGGGGAGCAGTGGTTGAGACAGGAGCAGTCTGCTGTGCCATGTGGGTCAGCTCCCTAGCTGGGGATCAAACTCATGCTGCAGTGGCTGCTGAGAGCTTCACAGTACTGAGATTTAACCCCCAGTGCCACCAAGGAGGCCCTGAGAAGGCGCATTTCTTTTTGCTCAGGAATATCTGAGTGGTCTGTGTGGTTCTGGAGGGGGAATGGCTGAGATGTGGAAGTTTTTGTCCTCACACCCCTCTGCTCTTGGTTTCTTCTTCTAGGCTTATGAAGAGGCCCAGAAGCGCCTCAAGATGGCTGAGGAGGACCGGAAGGCAATGGTAAGTCCCAGTGCTCAGAAAACTGAAGGACTGACTTTTGGTAGAGTGTTTTTGGTAGGAAAAAAGGATGCAGGGAAAATGCAGTGGGGATGCCACAAGTGGCAGGTCTCTGGAGGAGGGGCCCGCTGACAGGAGCCTACTGAGGGGCGCTTCAGTTGTACAGGGACGGAGGCTTCCCAGAGTGACCTGGCTCCCTGGAATCTAACCACAGTGTGTCAGTGGGGAATTTTGACTTGCCTGGCTCCTGGGACCCTTCCAGATGTAACCAGAAGGCAGCTGGAAGGTCAAGGAGGAGGCTGGTGGGCAGGGGCTGTGGCTGTGGTTGTCCAGCTGCCCGGGGATGTGCTGAGCACTCAGCTTGGGGGCTATCTCCAGACATACCTTCCTATTGCCTAGCGCCCCCGTCCCCCATGTGGCCTTGTGCTTTCCTCAGCTGGTCTTCTGACGGGACCGCAACAGCGCCTTTCTAACTCATGGGCTCATATAGTCTAAGTCTAAGGAGGGTGGGCGGCTTTCCACAGGCCTGGTCTTCCCGAGTCAGGTCACACTTAGAGTTCCTGTGAGAACGTTTGGTTCTGTGGTTTCCTAAAAATGCCTAGTGACCTTCAGGCTTCTCCTGACTAGTCCAGCTCATGTCCCATCCCACACACTGACTGTGCTGTGAGACTTCTGAGATACCTCTTGCTGCTGGTAGTGTTTTTATTTGCTTGAATTTAATTTTTCTTTTCTTTTTTAATTATGTAAACTTTCAGACGAACAGACAAAACAGCATAGTGAACACTCAACAAACTATTCAGAATAAAAAGTTGCTAAACTGCAGTGTTTGCAGCGTCCATGTAAATGAGGGCTTTATATATATGTTTTCCATCATGTACTGCCTACGAGTAAAAACATTTCCCTCTAAAAGTTCAATGCTGTGTTCATGTTCAGGACAATGAACAGTATCTCCATGGGTCAGGTAGGAACCTGTCTGCAATAAAATTTCCCTGGTTCCCCCAATGTCTCAATCTTTCCAAACCAGAATCCAGGCAAGGTTTATGCACTGTGTATGGTTTTAGGTCTCTTAAGTGTCTTTCTCTTTCTTTCACCTGATACCATGTGCTACATTCTGGATTTATCTGGTCTTATCTTGTGGTGTTAAGTTCTGCACTTCCTTTACAGTGGAACTTCATGGCAAGCCGGGCAGCCTATTGGGGTGATGTGCTCGCCAGGGTGTTCCGCTGTCCCATTGTGTGTGTGCCTGACAGTGCAGGTGTTCTTCCGCCAGTAGCCTTTCACTAGAGGTTGTAACAGCCACTGCTGACCCGTCCCTGGGTCGGTTCTTTCACTGGGGACTGCAAGTGGTGGTTTTTTTAATTCTCTCATTATTTTTATTAGCTAGCTTTTTTTAAAAAAGATTTATTTATGCATACAAGAGTTGGGGTGCAGGCTAGAGGTACGGGAGGTGAGAAGATTGACCAGACAGAGTGGGGAGCAGAACAGGCAGATCGACTGAAATACACTGCTGAGGGAGCAATGGGTGAGACAGGAGAGGTGTGCTGGGCTATGTGGGTCAGCTCCCTGGCAGGGATCGAACTCATGCTGCAATGACTGTGGATAGCTTGATAATAGTGCTGTGCTTTAACCAGTTGCACCACCAGGGATGCCCTATTAGCTAACTTTCTATGAAAGAAGAGTTTTCCCTCAAAAAACTAGGAATGGCTATCTTCCCAGGGATAAACCAAAGGTTTAATTGTTTGCTTTTAACTACTGATTTTCAGAATGAGGAGTTTTGTGTCTGTCACCTCCCTGGTGACTAATGTTTGCCCACATTCTTTGTGTGTTACACATGTCATATTAGACTCAATAATTTTTAAGTAGTTTGCAGTTGCGTATCATTATTATTTTTGATGCTTGTATTCACCTGATTTTTTGCCCATATGTTTAAAAAGACACCCTCAGCCTGAAAAAGTATTTCATTTCTCTGATTTTGTCACAAGTATAAAGTCTTCACAGAACAAGCTGAGTAAATAAATAGTATCAGAGCATACAAGGGGTAGGCCTTGCCAGTGAGTAGAGGAGGCCATCGTAGTGCAGGGGAAGATGTCGCCACGGGGGAGGGACTGTGCTTGGAGCCGAGAAGGGCCTTAAGGAGATGGCGGGTCCTCTGTCCTGAATAGTGTATGTCAAAAGCAACTGCGTAGAGGTCACTGACACATCGTGTGAGAGGGAGGGGCTAGTCCCAGAGGACTGAGCGCCCCTGATTCTGACTTGCCTCTTGGAAGCTCTAATGCTGTTCTCTAACGGTTTGTATGGAATTTATTTTTCCTGTAACTATAATTATTTGTCTTATTTTTTAAAAAAGATTTAATTATTTATGCATATATATCTGGGGTATAGGCCAGATGTGCAGGGGCGGTGAGAGGTTTTACCAGAGACAGAGTGGGGAGCAAAACAGGCAGATTGTCGAAGTACACTGCTGAGGGGAGCAGCGGGTGGGTCAGGAGAGGTCTGCTGTGCCAAGTGGGTCAGCTCCCTGGCTGGGAATCGAACTCATGCTGCAGTGGTTGCAGCATGTGCTGCGCTTTAACCTGTAGCACCACCAAGAAGGGCCCTAGTAATTTGTATTAAGACCAGGGAACGTCTAGTTGTGACTGAAGAATCCCTCCTGTTAGCATATCCAGGGATTCCCAGTTGTCTCAGTTCTTTTCAGTTTGTGACTGATGCTTCTAAATGCTGAATCCAGCACTTTCATTTTCCCTCTCTCCACTAAGTCACACAAGCTGGTAAAAGTAAAATACAATATGCTGGGCCCTCCCTGGTGGCGCAGCGGGTTAAAGCACAGCACTGAGAATCTAAAGCCGCTTCCGCATGAGTTCGATTCCCGCCTGCCCCGGAGGAGACCACATGGCGTGGCAGACCTCTCCTGACCCGCCCGCTGCTCCCTTCAGCAGTGTACTTCATCAATCTGCCTGTTCTGTTCCCCACTCTGTCTCTGGTGAAGCCTCTCACCGCCCCTGAGCCTCTGGTCTGTACCCCAGTTCTGTATGCATAAATAAATAAATCTTTAAAAAAAAAAAAAAGTAAAATACAATATGCTGAAATAATTGGCCTGATGTCTCTATACCAAAAGACGGTATAGCTGCCCAGAAGCGCATTCCAGCTGCAGCTGCTGCAGGAGGGCCGGGTGTGGGGTCAGGGCGTGGCCTTCAAAGGGGTCCCCTCCTATGGATGATCATAGGTGGTACATTGTGGACGGAAGGTGGAGCATGCAGCTTTAGGGTCCCATGCCTGCCTGTGTCATGCCTACTCTTCTGGCTAGGTGGGGGAAACGGCTGCCGCTGCGGCAAGCTGAGAATTTGAATGCCCTGTCCCCACCCAGGTCCCCGAGCTGCGGAAGAAATCCCGCAGAGAGTACCTGGCTAAGCGGGAGCGGGAGAAGCTGGAGGATCTGGAGGCCGAGCTGGCTGACGAGGAGTTCCTCTTTGGTGACGTGGAGCTGAGTCGCCAGGAGCGGCGGGAGCTCAAATACAAACGGCGGGTGCGGGACCTGGCCCGGGAGTACCGGGCGGCCGGGGAGCAGGAGAAGCTGGAGGCCACCAATCGCTACCACATGCCAGAGGAGACCCGGGGACAGGTGAGGGCCCCCAAGCCGCGGGAGAGACAGCCCCGGGGGCGTGGGCTGTGCCTCCACGGGCCCCTTTCCTGTCACGCCTTTCCTGGTTGGGGGGCTGCTGGGGCACAGGGCACCCGGCCAGAGGACAGCTTGTTTTGACGCGCCCCTCTCTCCATAGCCAGCACGAGCTGTGGACCTAGTAGAGGAGGAGTCGGGCGCCCCTGGAGAGGAGCAGCGGCGCTGGGAGGAGGCCCGGCTGGGGGCCGCCTCCCTCAAGTTTGGGGCCCGGGATGCTGCCTCCCAGGAGCCCAAGTATCAGCTGGTGCTGGAGGAAGAGGAGACCATTGAGTTTGTGCGGGCCACGCAGCTCCAGGGCGATGAGGTGAGTGAAGCGCGCTTGGGCTTTCCGAGGAGCGGCGGCGGCAGGCCTGAAGCTCACGCCCCTCTCCTCCTCAGGAGCCGTCGGCCCCACCCGCTGCGACCCAGGCCCAGCAGAAGGAGTCCATCCAGGCCGTCCGCCGCAGCCTCCCCGTGTTCCCGTTCCGGGAGGAGCTCCTGGCCGCTATTGCTAATCATCAGGTCCTCATCATCGAAGGCGAGACGGGCTCGGGGAAGACCACGCAGATCCCACAGTATCTCTTTGAGGAGGTACGGCCACTCCCTCGGCCTGCGAGAAGGGCCTGGGCAGCGCTCCTTTGACTTGCTGGCATGAGTGGTCACTTACTCAGCACGTTGGTTGCTTAGTCTTCCCACTAAGCCGTCAGGTTCCTGAGTGTGGGGCCAGTCTGTTTCTTTTCTCAATGCCCGTCTGCCTGCTAGGTGTTTGATACGCTCATGGCAGGTGGACGTGTAGATGTAGGGGTGGAGGGGCGTGTGAACGTGGGTGCCTGTCACTGACCAGCTGGATCTCTGCTCCTGTGCAAGGCCAAGGGGGAGGGGTCAGATGATTCCTTTTCCTGCCCCTTTCCCTTCCTTTGTTCCTCATTGCTTCTAGGTCTGCTGCAGCTGCTCTGTCGCTCTGTCCTTTTTTTTTTTTTTTTTTTTAAGATTTATTATGCTTACAGAACTAGGGTACTAGGGTACTAGAACTAGGCAGAGGTGTGGTGGGTGAGAGGGTTCACCAGAGACAGAGCGGGGAGCAGAACAGGCAGATCGACTGAAATACACTGCTGAGGGGAGCAGTGGGCGGGTCAGGAGAGGTGTGCTAGGCCATGTGGGTCACCTCCCTGGTGCGGGATGGAACTCTAGCTGCAGCGACTTCAGAGAGCTTCATAATGCGGTGCTTTAACTTGTTGCACCACCAGAGAGGGCCCTGCTCTGTCCTTTTCCAGTTTAAAACTAGTGGGCTCTGAACTTGATTTACCAAAAGGACTGTCAGGGCTGGGCGAGGAGCCCCTTGGGGACCCTAAGTCTGCCTTGTGTCCTGTGCAGTCTGACTTGGTTTGTAGCTCCGGCCGCTCCTTTGTCTCCCTGCTCTGCCCAGCACTTACAGCCTCTCTGAATCCTCCTGGCTCCCAGGGGCATGGTTAGCCCAGGAAAACCGCTGTCTCCCTTTCATCCAGGGTTACACGAAGAAGGGTATGAAGATCGCCTGCACCCAGCCTCGGAGAGTGGCGGCCATGAGCGTGGCTGCCCGAGTGGCCCGGGAGATGGGTGTGAAGCTCGGGAATGAGGTAAGATCTTTGGAGACTCAAGGCGAGGGGAGCCCTTGGGGCCCGGGCTGTCCCCACATTGCTGCCAGTGCTTCACGCCACAGGGTCAGGCACTGGCCTTGTCCCCAGCCCTGCACCCCTTCAGGGACACTAGCCCACTCTCATCTGCTGATGGCCCCCACAGGTCGGCTACAGCATCCGCTTTGAGGACTGCACGTCAGAGCGAACTGTGCTCCGCTACATGACCGATGGGATGCTGCTCCGGGAGTTCCTCTCGGAGCCTGACCTTGCCAGTTACAGGTACATGCAGGCCGTCTCCCTGGGGAGGCATCCAACTCTTCGTCCCCTTTGGTACGGCCCATTAGCTCCTTTCCTCTCTGCTCTGGCCTTTCTTTCCTTTCTTTCAACCAGGCAGCTTGACCATTATCTCCTGATTTAGCCACCATTTCTTGGATCTTGTGGTTGCAGTCATTCGAGGTCCTTGCAGAGGGGGCGGGGTTAGCCTGTACTGTGGGACAGCGCCTCTCCCCTCCCCAGTTGTTTCCAGGGTCTAGAGAGCACCCAGATGGCAGTGGTGCTTGAAAAGCCACATGTGACCACTTGAAGGAGCATAGAAGGTGCAGCTAAGGGGGAAAGCCTCTGGGAAGACATCGTTTTTCTCTCTCCATGTGTTAAGGGCTGCAACATAGAAAAAGGAATCTGATTTGTTTTTGGAGACTCCAGAGTCAACTTGGAACCATGGTGGGGAAGTTACAGGGGACAGATTTTAGCTGAACACCAAGAAGCCAGAGTGGTAGAGATTGCAGGCTGCTCGAGTCCTGCCACCCTGGCTCTTGTAACTCTGCCCAAGTCTTTGGGTGGCTTTTTTTTTTTTTTAAAGACTTACTTATTTTTACATAAAGAGCTGGGGTACAGGCCAGAGGTACAGGGACGGTGAGAGAATTCAACAAAGACTGAATGGGGAGCAGAACAGGCAGATTGACAAAGTACACTGCTGAGGGGAGCAGTGGGTGGGTCAGGAGTGGTCTGCGGTGCCATGTGGGTTAGCTCCGGGCAGGGATCGAACTCACGCTGAAATGGCTTTAGCTTTTTAGTGCTGTGCTTTAACACGCTGCGCCACCAGGGAGGGCCTTGGGGTAGCTTTTAAGCAAGCATGGTGAGGTGAGCAGTGTTGATGGGGAGGAGGGAGTCGTGGTGGGGATTTGGGGTGAGGTGCGGCCAGCCAGCATTCTGTGCTGTTTCACCTCACAAGGCTGTGAAGTTCTGGTGTTAGAAGATTGCAGTGGAGCAATGGGACAAATATGATTTGACCCTTCACATCTCTTTCAAAAACCAGAGAATCCTTGGAAGGCTGGCCAGTGCAAGAGGGTGGGGGGTGAGGTTTTCCCACCAAGCCAGCTGCTTTGTGGAACAGGAACCTTAGCATCTGGTCAGGGTCAGCCACAAAGGGCCGAGGTCGAGGGTGAGCTGTAGGCTTGGCTGCTGGAGCCCAGAGAGTAGATCAGTGGAAGAAGGTGGCTCACACGCCACTAGGGAAACCACAGAGCCTGCAGGACCTGAGAAGGCCAGAGAGGGTCAGCAGGGCACACCACAGCCATCCCGCAATGCCCCGGGGCTGTGGGGCTGTTTGAGACAGCGGCTCAGGTCAGCCTGCCCACCCCTAGCCAGCCTGGGCATGGAGCCTTTTTCAGGTTTCCTTCAAACCCCCTTTCCTTTAAAGCGGGTGCTCTGCTTCCTTAGTGAAGTAAGAGCCGCTGCTGACTCTTGGTGGGCTCGAAACTGATCGAGAGGGAGGGCTGCCTCGCCCTGGCCTTAATTCCAGCCTCAGAACGTGGCTGCTGTTGTCTGGCCAAGCCAAGAGAGACTGGAGACCACGGGCCAAGCGGTCTCTGGCTTCCTCTGGGTTTTGCTCAACTGGGATGAGTCTTCTCCTGGATAGAGCCCCTTCCTCCCACGTGACCTGGTGCTCATTGCCTCCACGTGACCCCTCGCCCAGGGTGCCGGTGTCCACTCCCGTCCTGCTAGCTCTCCTCCCTCACTGCTCCTCTTGCTTCCTCAGTGTGGTGATGGTGGACGAGGCTCACGAGCGGACCCTGCACACGGACATTCTCTTCGGGTTGATCAAGGATGTGGCTCGATTCCGACCGGAGCTCAAGGTCCTGGTGGCTTCAGCCACCCTGGACACTGCCCGTTTTTCCACCTTCTTTGATGATGCCCCCGTCTTCCGAATCCCTGGGCGCAGGTTTCCAGTTGACATCTTCTATACCAAGGTGCCCCCTCAGGAAGACCAGGCTTACGTTGGGGGTTTCAGAGGTGTCACAAGGAGGGAAGGTGGAGTGGATGGTGCAGCAGGGAACTGAGGTGAAGTGAGCGGGGAGGAGCAGAGCGGGCGAACCTGAGCAGGAGGCCTTCCTGTGACCCCTTCTCCAGGCTCCGGAGGCCGACTACCTGGAGGCCTGCGTCGTGTCTGTGCTGCAGATCCACGTGACCCAGCCTGCTGGGGATATCCTGGTGTTCCTCACAGGACAGGTGTGCGGCTTGGGGGAGGGGCGAGGATGAGTGTCCCCGGGGAAGACAGGGCTGGCAATTCGGCCTTCTGTGACAGGAACCCACTGTTCTGCCCACCCCTGATTCAGGAGGAGATTGAAGCTGCCTGTGAGATGCTGCAGGACCGCTGCCGCCGCCTGGGCTCCAAAATCCCAGAGCTCCTGGTGCTGCCCATATATGCCAACCTGCCTTCAGATATGCAGGCTCGCATCTTCCAGCCGACGCCGCCTGGGGCTCGCAAGGTCAGTTGGAGAATTCTTCAGCCATCTGGCTTGCACAGCTGGTAGTGGGAGGCAGCTGCAAGGCCAAGTGGCCGTCGGTGCCCGCTGAGAGAGCCACGTGGTGCGTGGTCTGGAGTACCAGATTGCGAGGAGGGAAGCTGTAGGTGTGCCAGAGGTAGAGTTTGACCTGGACCTTACTAAACCTGGTGGGGGCGAGGACTGCCGGGGTGTTCAAGGCCAGAGGATCACCTAAAGGCTTAGTGGGGCAGGTTCACCTGGTGGTATTGCGAGACAGGCCAGCAACAACTTTGAACTGAGATCAGGGTCAGCCTTTGAGGGCAGATGGGAGAATTTGGACTTTAGCCGACTGATTGGCAATCATAGGATTTTGAGCAGCAATGTAATTTTCATTCAACAAATATTTAACTAGTTCCTCCCACATGCCAGGTACTGTTTTAGGGAATAAGAATAAACAAAACAATGCCTTTAGCATCACAGAGCTTACAATCTGTTGTAGGAGACAGTGGACACGTAACATGTCACTTTAGCAAATGGGTATGGGAGTGAGGAGTAGCAGGAAGGAATCTTCTTGGGGTGTAGGAAAGGCCTCTCCCTCTTTGATAAGGTGGAAGTGAGGCCTACACCAGATGTGGGGGGAGTCGGCTGCTGTCTGAGGGGGTTGGGGATAATTGTCAGGGTACATGGGAAGCCACTGAAGGGGGAGTGATGGACTGTTCCGGATGGTGACCAGAGCTGGGGTGAAACTGGAGGCTTATTAGCTGTTGCAGGAGTACGGTGGGTGTGAATGTGAAAGTGGTGGTGTGGTTGGGGGGCAGGAACCTGGATATTCCATCTCTCATCTCTGGACAATGCCCAAATCCTCTTCTGCATTTCCGATTTGCAGCACACCCCTGCTGACCCCACTTCTCCCTCAGGTGACTTCCACTGTGCATTTCCCTCCCCTGACTGAGGACAGTAGTCCCCTCAGCTCCTACCCCTTCTGCACCTGCTTCTCTATCCCAAATCTTCCAGGATTACTACCTTTTCTAGGTAACTAAGTAGGTGATGTTTCTGGTGATCCCAGAAGTAGGTGATCCCACTTCTCCCACCCAGGTGGTTGTGGCAACGAACATCGCAGAGACGTCACTCACCATCGAGGGCATCATCTACGTGCTGGACCCGGGCTTCTGTAAGCAGAAGAGCTACAACCCCCGCACAGGCATGGAGTCACTCACGGTCACACCCTGCAGCAAGGTTGGCCTGCACGCCAGCAGGGATTCCTGGGGGCGCAAGTGGACACCTGGGGTGGTGCACAGCTGGGTAGGGGGCCAGTGAGGTGGCTTTCACCTACCAGAAGGTCCAGCCCCCATATGTGGAGACTTCTTGGAGCATGGGTGTATACTCAATTCCCATCCTCCCAGATTTCTTGCCTAAATGCTGCCCTTTTCCTGTTCTCTCATTCAGTCCATCAGCCAGCCTGCATCTGCTTTTATTCCAGGCCTCAGCCAATCAGCGAGCTGGTCGGGCAGGCAGGGTGGCTGCTGGGAAATGCTTCCGGCTGTATACGGCCTGGGCGTATCAGCACGAGCTGGAAGAAACCACGGTGCCCGAGATCCAGAGGACCAGCTTGGGCAACGTAGTGCTGCTTCTCAAGAGCCTAGGTGATTGGGGTCTCCTGGGGTTCTGTGAGGAGGGAGGTGGAGCTGGAGTCAGTGCTCCTTGAGAGGGGCTCTGTGCTACCCCTCACATCTTCGCAGGAATCCATGACCTCATGCACTTTGATTTCCTGGACCCACCACCGTATGAGACCCTGTTGCTGGCTTTGGAGCAGCTGTACGCGCTGGGAGCCCTCAACCACCTTGGGGAACTCACCACGGTGAGATGGAGGGCGGCGTGGGCTGGCTGTGGGAGCACAGCCGAGGGAGGGCGGGACTCAGCTCTCTCTCCCCTCCTCAGTCTGGTCGAAAGATGGCAGAGCTGCCGGTGGACCCCATGCTGTCTAAAATGATCCTGGCCTCTGAGAAGTAAGCACCCGCTTCAGCCTGGCTTGCAGTGTAGACTGTTCATGCCTCCTCCTCTTTCTCTTCTTTCCACCAGATTATTCTTTAACAAATAATAACTTACGAGGGACCTCTTTTTAATTTAATTTTTATTAACTTCTTCCATTTTTTTTTTTACTTCCTTTGTCTTACATCACTGTAGTCCCTGTAGTTCTCTCGCCACCTTGTCACCTGTGAACCATCACCCGGTTATCCTCCCATTTGCCCCCACCTCTCACCCCCTGCTCTGCTGTATTCCTCAGCTCTGTGGTCAGCTTGTTCGTTTTGACTGTTTTTGAACTTTCACTTGGTTTTACTATGTTCTGCATATGAATGAGGCCATCTGGTATTGATCTTTTTGCCTTCTAATTTCGGCTGGCACAATCCCCTTCAGCTTCATCCATGTTGCCACAAATTGCATGAGGTTTGTGTTTTTTGATTGAGTAATTCCGTTGTGTAAATATACCCAGTTTTTTGATCCATTCATCCATTTAGGGGTATTTTGGTTGTTTCCTTATCTTGTGAACAGGGCTGCGATAAACAGGAATGCAGGTTTCTTTCAAATTAGTGGTTTCGTATCATTTGGGTAAGTTCCTAGGAGTGGAATCACTGGATCATATGTCAGGGAACACCCAGTGCCCCTTTTGAAGCCTACAAGGATGGAAATAATATCACAATATCAAATGGGTACGGTTGATAAACAAAAAATGGGGGGGTTGAATGAAGGTAGAAGAATTTCCATCTGTGAGGAGTGTTGAATGAGGGAACTTGGAAATTCCTGAGGTTTGAGACTGGATCCTTAGATATCTGTGACTGGAAGAGAAACCACCTGTAAATGCCTTGTCTTCTGCTTGAGGCCAGAGGCCATTACAGGGGCTTACAGAAATGTTCTTTCCCCATTGCAGTCATAACTTTGCACCACAAAGCCCTCGAGGTCCCCAGCACTCTCTGTGCCCCGCTTCTGTTGCTATTGCATCAGCAGGCGCCCCTTCAGCTCCTGTACTGCTGCTGCTACAGCACCCCCTAGTCTGTCTGCTCTGATTTGTAGCCATTATCCCACGTGCTCGGTCCCTACAATGAGGACACATCCCTCACCGTCATCACTTCCCCTCACTATGTCTGCTAGGTGTCTCGCTTTGAACTCATGCTTTTTCCTTCCTGCCCCAGGTACAGCTGTTCAGAGGAGATCCTGACAGTGGCTGCCATGCTCTCTGTCAACAACTCTATCTTCTACCGACCCAAGGACAAGGTCGTCCATGCTGACAATGCCCGTGTCAACTTCTTCCTCCCTGGTGGGGACCACCTGGTTCTGCTAAACGTTTACACACAGGTCACTGGGCGTGAATGAGTGGGAATGAGACATGGGGACATGCTGGTCCTGCTATGTACTCACTCCTTTTTACCCTCTTCACAGTGGGCTGAGAGTGGCTACTCTTCCCAGTGGTGCTATGAGAACTTTGTCCAGTTCAGATCCATGCGCCGGGCCCGGGATGTGCGAGAGCAGCTGGAGGGGCTTTTGGAGCGTGTGGAAGTTGGTCTCAGTTCCTGCCAGGGGGACTATATTCGTGTGCGCAAGGTCAGCATTTACTCTTCTGGCAACCTACTAAGTCCCGAGGGGCAAGCATCTCCTTTGGGGGCCTGCAGCAATCCCTGCGCCTGACAGAGTGCCCTTCCCCGTGGAGGGGGTGCCCTCCATGTGCTTCCTTCCACAGACCACTGGAGGGTCCTTCTCAGTGGGTTCATGTGTTCCTCGCCTTTCTGGTTCTCCAGAAGCCTGAGCTGAAAAGGTAGTGAGTGCCAAGGGCCCCTGCTGCCTGGCTTTCCCATTCACTGTCTCTCCTGCCTGCTCCTTAGGCCATCACTGCCGGTTACTTTTACCACACAGCACGGCTGACTCGGAGCGGCTACCGCACAGTGAAACAGCAGCAGACCGTCTTCATTCACCCCAACTCCTCTCTCTTCGAGGAGCAGCCACGCTGGCTGCTTTACCACGAACTTGTCTTGACCACCAAGGAGTTCATGAGACAGGTGAGGGGCTGATCCCCTGTCCAGGTAGGTGGTAGTTGTGTGACGAGGTTTCTGCCAAGCTGAGAACTTGGGGGCTCGGGGCTGTGGCCGGTATAGGAATAGGAGATGGAATAAGATGCTTTCCTAACAATGCTCTCAGTGTCTACCTGTGTTCACTCGAAACTACGTTTCTCAGCTGGGACCATAATGGAAAACAAAGCTGTTGTGCTTGCTCTGTCCCAGTAGCTTGCTTGGGATCCTGGATAACAGGTAGAGCAAGCAGTACGTCTGCCCTCAGGCATGTAGTACTAGAGCCTGGCACCTTTTCTCTCGCCCTGAGGGAAAAGAAAGGAACCCTTTTAGATTAGCACACATTGGAATTTAGGTTAGAAAGAAGGGAAACCCTATTGGTTATTATACTTCTCTCCTAGGTTTTGGAGATTGAGAGCAGCTGGCTTCTGGAGGTGGCTCCCCACTATTATAAGGCCAAGGAGCTAGAAGATCCTCATGCTAAGAAAATGCCCAAAAAAATTGGCAAGACCCGAGAAGAATTAGGGTAAAGAGATGGGGGGGGGCATAAACAGAACCTGACACCAGCTCCTTTTCCTTGTGTATGTTATTTAATAACTATTAATAAAAATATTTTTAGAATAATGCTTGTGAGAACTTTTCAGATCCAGAGAAAGTGATGTGGAAATGTGATCTCATATATTCACTTAAACTTTATTATTTACAAATTAAATTACACAGCAGCTTTACACAGCATGAGATGGAAAGAGAAGAGGGGAAGAAGTTGGCTCCTGAGATTCTTGGCCGCCTCCACGTCCTCCTCTTGTGCATATAGCCAAGGTCTTCAGTGCTGCCTCCACCCCAGTTCCTAGGTCAGGCTTTGGGGCACAGGTTTAAGTTGGGTTCTGGCTCTGACAGCCCCAGAGTCACCAGGGCTCCCACTAGCAGCTTCTTCACAGGCGTTGGGGGTGAATGTGAGGGCATCAGCTATGGGGAGAAAGGTTAATGCCACATGGTGTGATGTTCTGCCCTTTCCCTACCCATCAGGCCCTAGGACTCACTTTGTCTAGGCGATGGCAACAAATGAGGCCGCTGGAATTCAGATAAAAGGTGGAATAGGCGTCATAGGTCCTGGTGAAAGGAGAGAAAGAGCTTACTGAGAGATGAGTGGTTCTAGATTTGAATTCAAGCATTTGTATAAACTAGTAATTTCAAGTTTTGGTACATATCAGATGATCCGGGGAACTTTTGAAAACTTAATAACCACTTTGTTCCCTGTCCCAATAAAATCAGAATGTCCTGCACAAATAAGATTCTTAGATGATTCCACTGTGTAGCAAAGTTTGGGGCCCACTGATTTGGGTTGAGTCTACAAATAGTTATTTGGGGGGTAGAACTGGGGTATAGTCCAAGGGTGCGGAGGTGAGAAGATTCACCAGAAGACAGAGTGGGGAGCAGAACTGGCGGATCCACTGAAGTACACTGCTGAGGGGAGCGGCAGGTGAGACAGGAGAGGGCTGCTGCATCTTATGTAGGTCAGTTTCCTGGCTGGGGATCGAACTCAGGCCATGGTGGTAATAACACTAAGACTTAACTCCTAAGCCACCATGTAAAGACACTGGTTTACATCTTTATATTTTAAGATTTTATTCTTTGTAGAAGACCTAGTGTGTAAGCCAGAATTGCGGGAAGTGAGACATTCCCCAGAGACAGAGTAGGTAGCAGAATAGGAGGATTTACGGAAATACACTACTGAGGGCAGCAGTGGGTAAGACGAGAGGTCTGCTGAGCCATACATGTGCTAGCTACCTGGCCAGGAACTCAACTCAGGCCACCATGGTAGGCCTCTGTGGTAGAAGCAGTGAGACTTAACCCCTAGGCCACCAGGGAGGTCCTACTGATAATTTCTCAATAGTTCTGTGCTGTGCCCCAAAAATTTACCAGATTTATCTCTTCACCTGCAGTGGTGAGGCTCAATCTAAGACAGGGATTTTCATTTTGTTCAATAATCTTTTGAGTACCTACAGTATGCCAGGTAATAAACACGAAGAAGCCGAGTTCAGAGGCCTCCATACTAACACCCTAATTTCTGTTAACATTAAAGCTGACTAGGGTGATCCCTGCCCCCAAGAAGCCTGCAGTTAAAGGTAGGATAGCTCAAGGGTTGGAAGAACATGAGCTTCCTGAAAGGGAGAGGTTAAGGAACACTGTGAGTCCTTTCTCACTTCTTTCTTACCTGTAAAGCTCTTCCTTGTCGCGCTTGTAGAAACGCAGAAAGAGCATGTGAATGGGCAGCCCCACGAGCCGCCAGCGGGCCTGCAAGCTCCAATTCTCAGGGTGGCGGGTCAGCTGTAAAACATCCAACCGAAGTTGTGCAAAATAGTTCCAGGCTAGGAAGCGGCAGAGTGTCAGCGACAAAATATACCATGTCCGGCCCCTGCAAAGAAAGGGGGGGAAAAATCTCATGATAGCAGAATAGGAAAACCAAACTGGCCTCTGTCCAAGGAACAGAAGGCTGTGAGAAGCAGCCTAAAGCCTTTTCTGGTAAATGCCCAAGACCAAGTCTACAGCAGTGGGTGCTTTTCCTCCCCCAGGCCCTACCCATGCGTGGATTCTCACTTGGTTCGTATATTCAGGATCTCGTTGATGAATTCCACATCCGATGAGTAGAGACTGTAGTCGTGTGAGTGAAGGAAGATATTGGGAAGCTAGGTGGACAGAGAAGGTATCAGCTCAGAGGGAGTGGTAAGTCCCTCAGTTTCTATTTATTTAGTGCCTCTTTATTCTTGTCTGATTACCTCATCCCATGTTCAACATCCCTTAACCTAACTTGAGGAGGAGCATCTTTTCCTTGGGAAATGCTTATGATTTGGCTTCACGTTCCAAGAAATGCCAACTGACCAGCCCTCTACATCCCGTCCTACTGCAGACATAGGTGACTTCCAGGTGACATACCTCGTGTCTCAGTCTCTCATACATGACAGCCAGGTGCTCCTCCATACTTGGATCTCCTGACGGAGTGGCAGGGGACGGGTGGGCAGTCCCAGGGGCTTGGAAAGGTATCAAAGCCCCAGGGTAGGGGCAGGGAGGTCCCTCAAATAGGCTCCTAAGCCCATCCAGGCAGCCACTATGCAACTCAGGTCCTGGCCCCTCCTCCCCCTTTCCTGGAGGGAGAACGACCCATGGTGAGCTAAGGGCCTGCACTGACGGGAGAGGTAGTGGGGAAGGTCTTGGAAGCAGCCAAGTAGGAGGGCGTGAGGGTGAGGGAGACCAGAGAAGAGAAGACGGAGAAGTGGTGGTGGTGGAGTGAGGCCAAAGGGGTGGGATGGGTGGAGCCCGTGGAGAAAGCTGGTCCTGAGGAGAACAAAAGGGAAAAAAGAATTCAGCTGCCTGATGCCCGTGATCCAAAGGCCACTCATCAGCATGGTTCCTTCCAACCCCACCTGCTTCTCCTGACCGGAGAGATGGAGTTACTACAAAAAAGGATGGAGTCACCATCTCCACTCAAAACAGGAGGAAAGTTCCCTGCGAAGCAGGCACAAGTAACTCCCAGACGCAGCAAAAACCTTTTCACTTGCTTAAGGGTCCAACCCTGGGAGCAAGCCCACCTCCTGTACGGCAAGAATAGTAAGAATATATACTTGGAAATCTGCATGAGTGACAGGTTGTATGGCCCTTGGATGAAAGGCTACCACCTGCCCTCCGCCCCTGAGCAGGCAGGTGTGCGGCGAGCCCATCCCCGGGGGCTAGAGATCTCCCTCTAGGCTGTGACCTCAGGCTGTCTCCCCCTGCTTGCCTCCCCTAAGCGCCTCCTATAAAGGAGGCCGAGGAAGCCGCACGGAGTCATGAGGCTGTGTGAGGTAATGAACGTAAATAAAACGTTGCCACCTATAAAGCGGAACATAAGTGGAAGCTATTATTTCAGGCCCCTGTCTGACAGGAATAAGCGCAGGAGACTGTTACTGAGCGGACTCCACGGCCCCTGGTTTTCCGACTTGGCAACTGTGACGGGGAGAGCTGACTTGGGTCCCTCGGCTCTCAAGGACACCCCCGGGGGTCGCGTTCCCGGGACGGCGGCGGGCGGGTGGCGTGGGTACCTCGGTCCCCCACGGAGTCCCCGAGGCGCCGTCTCCGCCGGGGGCGTGGCCATCTTGCCCGACCCGGCGCTGGGGCCCGAACCGGGTCCACCCGAACCCGCCTTCCTGCAGGGACCGCTATCCGGTGCACAATGCGCAGGCTGCAGGGCACGGCCCGCAGGTCTGTCTGGTGGGGGCCAGGAAACCGGGGCGGCGCCGCGGTCGCGCTGCGAACCTCCGGCCTCTGCCCTTCAAATCACCTTCCCGGCACAGGTAACCGCGGAGACGCAGTCAGGCGCGAACGCGCCCCGTCGCCCCCGACTCCCACCTCAGGCCGGGGAGAACTGACGTCGTGCGCGTTCCCACCCGGAGACCCCAGGCCCCTCGGCTCGCCGGCTCCGGTGGGAAGGGGCGGCAGGACGGCACTGCGCCTGCGCGGGACGGGCGCGCGCTCCGCCCCACACGCCGGCTCTGAGGAGGGTCTCTCCCCGCCCCCTCCGCTCTCACCTGGGGGTGAGCCTGGTAGGCGCGGAGGCAGGGGCCGAGACGCCTGGCCGCCCCCCGACTGGGCGGGTACATGATCTTCCGGGAGTGCGAGAGGGCGCCTCCCGAGTCCGGCCTCCTCACTGGGTGAGCGCGCCCCGGAGCCGGCTTCTTGAAGGGGAAAGAGGGGGGGCCGGGGGCTGAGGACAGGGAAACGGAGATGTTGCGCGCTTGCGCACTGCGGGTTCCGCGGAGGCGGTGAGGCGCTGTCTGCAGTAAGTGCGCCTGCGCACGCGTGAGCGCTCCTGCCGCAGAGCGCTTGCGCAGCGAATTAGCGGGTCCCTGGTAGGGCTCACTCCACCTGTGGCGCCTGCGCAGCAAGCTGGGCGACAGTGTGGTCGCAATGGGTGCTGCGTGAGGGGAGAGGGGGACTGAAATGACGACAATCCAGTTTCCCATAACTCGTGATAAAAATAAATACTTTTATTGCTCAGCTTAAAAATAAAATACAAATGATTTGGCACCGATGAGCCTGTCAAATGAATGAATGAGTGAGTGAATACCCATGAGGGCTGGCTTTATCGCACTCCTGTGGTGAGAGAAAAATACTGACTTTGAAGGTGTGAGGAGAGATCGTTGTCACCACGGCCTAGTGCTACGGCGCTCCTGCAAGTTTCGAATGAACCTGGCGTTGAACATGTCCCCACCCACTGTCCAGGCCTGGGCGGGTGCCGCCTGGGCCAGTGTGGCTAGGGCGGGTGCCGCCTGGGCCGGTGCAACCTGGGCCGGTGCAGCCTGGGCCGGTGCAACCTGGGCCGGTGCAACCTGGGCCAGTGGGGCCTGAGCAGATGTGGGCTGGGCTGGTGTGGCCTGGGCCTGCGTTTGGGCCTGGGCTGGGGCGGCCTGAGCCTGTGGAGGAACTGTGTGCATGGGTTCCTTTCCAGACCCGTCCTTTGATAAGACCTTTTCCTCACTGGAACACCTGGTAGGTGGAAGGGAGACGAAGAGTAGGTTTTAGGGGTACTAAAGTGACAGTTATATCACAGACTCTTTAAGGTCTGTCCAGCTTCTATGCAGAGGGGGACCAAATGCTGTATGAGGCTAGAGCCATTAGTGTTATGTCCATATTTGAAACCCTTCAGAGAGCACCAAAAGGAAGCACTAAGTTGAACCTATGGGGAGAGGTAGGATGTTAGGATTTGTGAGAGGGGAGGAGCTACTGTCCATGCGAGAGAGTAAGGACTGGCAGGAGTAACAGGGCGATGTTAGCAAAGGAGTCAGAGCTGGTGGGAGGCTGTTAGAAGAGGGACTCAGACCTCACCTAGTCTCTCTTTCCTGTTCCCCCTGCTTCAATTCTTGATTGCCTGTGGAAATACCAGGCATGCACATGGGAGCGCTGGCCAGGGTCGTGAATATGGCCTACTTGATTCGGGTAAGGAGAGATGAGTACTTACCTGTATTGGGGGATGAGGAATTCAACCCCCCGTGGCGGCTGTAGCAGCAGCTTTGGGCTACCAGCCCTGGGGGAGTGCCCCTGTAGAAGAAATGGGAGATGATGGGGAGGAGGCCACAGGATGAAGGGTGAGTGGGTATGGAGAGGAGGAACAAAAAGAAAGAGCAAGCAACAAAAGGAAAAGGAAATTATCATTCCTATGGGGTTTCAATTTCCATCTAAGTTATATTCCAATAAAGGGGAAGCAGCTTACTTTATACCCCAAGATTTTCTGGAGCAGTCCTGATTTGGTGCTTTATTTCTAATGGAGGCAATGGGTTTAACAGAAGGTTAAATGTGATCCAACTCATGTCATAAAAACAGACTCACTGGGAGGCAAAATGCATCTGTTGTACCAGGTACCCTGGTGTTTGATTTGGAAACATGGCTACTGTAATGACAGGATATGTCAGACCAGAGAGAAATTGGGAGCGGTGAGGCTGAATTTAGGAGGAGAAGGAAAGGAGCCTTTGGAGGGAGCAGAGGTGACAGATAGCTGGACTCAACAGGGGTTAAGATCGTCTTGAGAAAGGTCTAAGGGTTTAGTGGGGCAGATGGCAGGAAATCAGTGGGAAGAATCCAGGATATGATTAGGGGATTATTATCACAGGGTGAGGCAATGAATGGATCCCAGAGATGTTGATACACCTTCACATCTTGGCAAGGGCTGGCTTGGGGTAAAGACAGAAGTCGCTGAGGAGAGCTGGTGGCTTCTGACGGGAATGGGGGAGCAGTAAACACAGGAGCAACATAGAGGGATCTGGTGACAGAATCGCAGAAGACTCAGCAATGAATATGACTACAGACACCAGAGCCGCCAAGGAAGCTCTGAGCTTGCTGGAAGAGTGGGAGACCCCAAAGGTAAAGGATGTGAGGGGGGCAAAGGTCTTAAAATCTCAGGAAAATAAGGAGTGACACACAGACGAGGCTGAGGCAAAGGTTTTTGTTTGTTTTTCATTGAAAATGTCCATTTAAAAAACACAAAAGAATTCACACTTGATTCAGACAATACTGGAGAAAAGAAAAGAGAAGGTGTGTTGGGAGAGAGGGAGATCCTGCTCCCAAGGTTTGGAGGGAACACAGGGAACCTGATCTACCACACACTCAGGAGGTGGGGAGGGGAAAGGATGTTCTATCTCCAAGGTTTGGAACAGGGAAGAGGTCCTTACTAAGGAGGAAAGAAGAAAGGAAGGTCAGAGGAAGAGTTCCCGCATCTCAAACCAATCTCACAAGACAGCAATCTATCAGTATCTAGCCACTGTAGAGATGGGTGAGGGAACTCCAGGAGTTAATAGATCCTTGAGATTCAGGCTTATCTTCTGAAACCTGGCTAAGAGTGATCCTAAGGTACTTAGTAGGGATCCACTGCCAAGAGACAGACATCCTCACAGAATCTGGACCTGGGGAAGAGGTGTCTTTAGAAGGGAGATGAGTCTTTAGAACCCCAAAACAAACATCAGCTTCGGGGCTCCCTGACAAATACAGAAAACATGGAGATGAAGTTTGGCAATGATGACTGGATCCCTTTGGGAGCTGGTACGTCCCTGTCCTACCTTAACTGGCTGGCGTGGGCAGACTAAGAGGCTGAGTGTGGTAGGCAGCACAAGGCAGCGCTGGAGCTACCAGTAGACACTAGAGGGAATACGGGATTTGTTCCATGGACAAGACTCCTTAAAAGGTTACACTAGTAGAGGACGCCCTGGGACTTTCCATGGCGTTCTAGAGTCTGACAGCAAGCGTGCGCTTCTCTGGATAACTAGTATGAGCTGCTCAAAGCATTTGGCAGCGAATTGGGCTGTAAGTGTTCAGAGCCCAAGTTAAGAGATAAAGGGGAGCTTTCTATGGTAGGAAAAGCTACAAGTAATAGGCCATCTGGGACCCTGACAACCCAGTTATCAAGAAAGGGGAAGGGGGAACCCTATGGGCTCTGTCAGGTTCCAGTGGATCCTAGGGATGCTATAAAGAGTGGGTCTGGGGTTCTCAGGGAGAGGGGTCTCTGCACACCCAGGTCTCCCCATGAGCAAGGGGTTAGCTGTCTATCAGTATCGGCTTTCATCAGAGCGGGGAAGGGAGCTATGGAGGGATGTCATGGACAGGATAAAGGGAGAGGGAAAATGGGGGAAGAGAGAAAAACAGCAGTCAGGTGAAGAGAAAGCTGGGAGACAAACACAGGAGTTACCCGCTCTGCCTGCTGGGATGGGCTCCTGCCACTCAAAGACACCAGCCTGCAGCCAGGCGCTCCCCAATTGTGTCAGAGGCCCTACCCCTTCCCAGTGTATTAAAGCATGGTCTCCCCACACTTAGAGGCTCAGTTCCCTCCTCAATACACCTGTCCTCCCTACCCTTCTCCCCAACCTACTTTAGAGTCCCTAGACTCCATATAAAATCCCATCTGCGGCCCTCCCTGGTGGCGCAGCGGGTTAAAGCACAGCACTGAGAATCTAGGGCCGCTTCTGCATGAGTTCGATTCCCGCCTGCCCCGGAGGTGACCACAAGGCGTGGCAGACCTCTCCTGACCCGCCCACTGCTCCCCTCAGCAGTGTACTTCGTCGATCTGCCTGTTCTGCTCCCCGCTCTGTCTCTGGTGAAGCCTCTCACCGCCCCTGAGCCTCTGGCCTGTACCCCAGTTCTGTATGCACAAATAAATGAATCTTTAAAAAAAAAAAAAATCCCATCTGCTCTCCCACTGCACGGCACTCCCCCAAATACTTTCCAATTTATTCTTTGAAGATTTTCAGACTCTAGCCCTCCTGCCCTGTTACTTCACCTTGCTAAAGGGTTCAAATCGCCCCTGCCATTTCTAGCACCCTCGGAGTCCGGAGGCCGCCTAGCCCTCCAGCTGCTGTTACCTGGTGCGGCGACGCTGGGCTGGGCTGCCCCCAGGGTCGGTAGCCAGCAGAAGGCGGGCAGTGGGATGCGGGGGGCAGAGGCGCAGGGACCGCAGCAGCTCTTGCTCTGGCACAAAGGGGCGGAGGGGGCCCCGTTCTGGAGAGTTCCCCAGGCTGCTGGAGCGAGGGGGTGGGTGAGCTGCAGGTGTAGCACGGCGGGGAGCCCTGTTTAGGGGCCAAGGAGGCTCCACAGCTACCTTCAGAACTTGGGGGAGAGAGAATAGAGAGCAAGACAGAGGAAAAAGGAGAGGGAGGAGTCAACAGCAAAAACCAGGGTAGAGAAAAAAAGAAATCAGAGCCTTGAGAAGAACAGACCCTTCCCCGGGTCAAGGCCCCCCAAGCCCGGACACCCGCGCAGCCCTCTTACATTCTCGGTCACTGGAGGAGTACGGCTTAATGTCGCCCTCTGCTCTCTTGGGGGGGAGTTTCCTTGCTGGAGCTGGCAGTGGAGGGAACACAGGCAAGATCAACATCAGAGAAGACACACTTCACGCCCCCTCCTCCCAGGCACTCCCCGCTGACCCCAGCCTCTGCTTCTTGACATCACAGCTTCTCCTGGGGAAGGAGAGTTAAGCTCCGTTGCAGAAGCAGCTCTGTGGCAATGCCATCATACCAAGAGGGGGCTTGGGGGGAATGCCAGAGCACTTTTGAGGAGAGCCAGAAGGAGTAGGCTGAATGCCGAGTCGGGGGATAAGCTCTAGGGAGACTCTGGGGCCTGGGAGATGCAGGAGAAGGGCAGCCAAGGCGGGTGAGCTCTTACTGTCAGTGAGTGCTGTCAGGGCCCCCTGGGATGCTGGGGCAGTGGAAAGGTCCCAGCCGGGCCAATGAGGACCCCAGGTCTCTCTAGATGAGACGGACAAAGCCCTTGGTTAATCAAGAATTGCTCTGAAGAGGTCAGAGGAGGTTGGGTTTGGACCTCTCCTTAAGTACAGGTGGGAGAGACTTAAGTTTTCACAGGGAGGAGAAAGGGAGAGAAAATACCAGACATCTGTCCAGGGAGTTACAGTAAGGGGGTGCTAACAGACTGCCTTAGTTCTGCCTCCTCCTGCCTCACTCCTCTACATGCTCCCTCCTCCTTTCCTGCAAGAGGGCTCCATCCTGTGTGGTATATTAGACGCCTCTCAGGGGATCCACTTAAGCTTTACCCCTTCCTGCAGACCAGCGTTCCTGCTGGCGCTCACTTGCTCTCACAGCCTGCAGGCAGCAGGGCCTCGTGGGGAAGTCTGGGAAACCAAAGGGTGTCGTGCATATGAAATGCTTCTCAAGTGTCCAGCACGGGTCGAAGCTGGTAACTGGTAACACACTTTTCTTTGACTTTCATCTTTTCTCATTAAGGAGATGAGAGCTAGTGACAGAGCCAGCTCGGGGAGGCGCCTTTCTGTACAGCAGGCACTGCAGCCCGCAGAAGGCTGTGCTTCTCCATGGGAGGCAGCCGAGAAGAGGGAGGATGCGGCTCAGATCAGCAGGAGCCTGTGTGCATGAGGATGGACACAGGGTGAAATGCGAACCTGGACAATTTTTCAGCACTTCTGAAGTTTGCTTTCTCTAAATGAACTTCATTGTTTGCTTGGAAATATAAATTCTGAGTCTTATCTTCTAAAACAAGTATTTAAACTTTGGACCATTCGTGTCACTATTCTGCGGACTGGAAAAGGAAGAGCTGAGTGCACTGCCTTCCCTGAACTGACAGAAAATTGAGGGGTGTTTACACAGTGCCTCTGGCCTACCTTGATGGACTTGATGGACCTGACGCAAGCAGGGGTCCCATCAACCTTAATTGTCAGACAGGCTCCCCGTGAGTTTGCTAAGCTAAAACTCTTGATGTGTATAAAGTGTACTGAGGTCCCATGAGGGCAAAGACTAGTGGGTAATGAGTGCTACAGACTTCTCCAAAAAGAGCCCAGAGATCGCACTGAGCTGGCTCATGGTCTCCAGCCATCACGGCACTAAAGCCCACCCCACCAATCAGCTTTACCAGGGGGCGTAGGATCAACCGCAGCAGCGCGAGAGTGTCGAGTTGCCCTCAGAGAGGGAGCAGAGGGCCCTGTGAGGAGGGAAGTGGTGGTGCCCCTGAGTGAGGGAGCCAATGGGAAAAGGAATCCACCTCTTTCCTTCCCCTCACCCCAGCTACTTGACCAGCACACACAAGGTGAGAAAACTTACCATGTTGATGGGCAAAGAAGCCTTCGAAGATCACAAAGTTGTTCACCTGTAGTATGAAACAAGTATAATTGTCTATTCAGCTACTCTGAACATGTGGTGTAGAATCATATGCTAGAAAACCTGCAGTGAGTGGAGCAGAATGAAATTCAGCCTTTCTTGTTGACAAACTCAGTCAAAAATTTAGACTCTGGTAATCTGATCTTATAGTTGATAAGGAATTGTAATGGACCTTGAATAGTCACAAAGATCTTGAAAAAGAAGGAAGCTGGAGGAGTTCACACACACTTCTTGATTTCAAAACTTACTATAATTTACAGTAATCAAAACAGTATGGTGAGGCCTAAGGACAAATACATAAGCCAATGATATGAAGAGAATCTGTCAACAGAAATAAACCCATGTAACTATGGTCAACTAATCTGCAACACTACATGGTCAAAGAACAGTCTGAGCAGAGCTGGGCTTAACCAACTGAACATCCACATACAATGGGTTGCACCATTAACCCACTGCATAGGAAAATAAGTAAAAATAGATCAAAGTTCTAAATGTAAGATCTAGAAACAGAAACTCTTAGAATATAAGGGAAAATTTTTATGACTCTAGTATAGGCAATGGCTTCTTTAACATGACAAAAACACAAGCAATGAAAGAAAAAAAGATGAATTGAACTTCATGAAAAGTAAAGTCTTCTGTATTTCAAAAGACACCATTGAGAAAATGAATAGAAACCCACAGAATTGTAGAAAATACTGTCAAATCATACATCTGATGAGTGTTATATCTAAAATATAAAGAACTCCTACAACTCATGGATAGAGAACACAATTCAAAAATGGATAGTGAACCTGAATAAACATTTCTCAAAAGTTGACATACAAATGTCCATAAGCATTTAAAATGATGCTCAACACCATTAATCATTAGGAAAATGCAAATCAAAATGAAAAGATATTCTACTTCATGTCTGTTAAGACAGCTATCAAGAAGTTGGAAGCCTCCCTGGTGGGAGGCGACGTAAAACGCTGCAGGGACTGTGGCAAACAGTCAGTTCCTCAAAAAATGACCTGAGTTTCATCCCCAGCCAGGGAGCTGACCCACATGGCACAGCAGACCTCTCCTGTCTTCCCTGCTGCTCCCTTCAGCAGTGTGTTCAGTCAATATGCCTGTTCTGCTCCCCACTCTGTCTCTGGTGAATCCTCTTGCCCCCCTCACCCCCTAACCTTTGCACCTCTGGCCTACACCCTAGTTGTTGTATGCATAAACAAAAAAATCTTTTTAAAAAATCTTTTACATGGGCTCTCCCCGATGGCACAACAGGTTAACATGTAGCACTGTGAAGCTAGCCACAGCAGCTTCAGCACAAATTGGATCCCCGGCTTCGGAGGTGACCCATATGGCACAGCAGACCTCTCCTACCTCACCTGCTGTTCCCCTCAGCAGTGTACTTCATCAATCTGTTCTGCTCTCTGCTCTGTCTCTGGTGAATCCCCCCACACGTCTGGCCTACACCCCAATTCTATATGCATAAATCTTTATAAAAATATTTTACATGAATATTTATAGCATATTAATCATAACAGTCAAAAAGCAGAAATCAAATATCAGTTGATAAATGGACATAAAATATGGTAAGTCCACATAATGGAATATCCTGCCAAGGATATTCTGAAAAGGAATGAGGTACTATGACATGCTACAATGTGGATGAACCCTGTGAAGACATTATGCTAAGTAAAAGCCAAACACACAAACTGTGTATCATTATTCCGCTTATATAAAATGTCCAGAATAAACTACTTCACAGAGAGAGTAGATTAATGGTTGACGGGGGTTGGCTTATATAAAATGTCCAGAATAAACTACTTCACAGAGAGAGTAGATTAATGGTTGATGGGGGTTGGGGGGAGAAGAAGTGACTACTTAATAAATATGGGTTTCTTTTTGGGTGATGAATATTTTCTGTAATTAGAGAATGGTGATGGTTGCACACTGTGAACATACTAAAAACTGGTGAACGGTATATTTTCAATAGTTAAAATACTGAATCTCATCTCAAAAAAGAAAAACCCTGCTCAAAAAAGAAAACTCCTGGGCCTCCCTGGTGGCCTAGAGGTTAAGGCTCAGTGCTATCACTGGTACAGCCAGGGAGCCGACCCACATAGGGCACAGTAGACCGCTCTCTCGCCCACTGCTCCCCTTGGCAGTGTATTTCAGTAAATTGGCCTAGAGTGTTCCCCACATTGTCTCTGGTGAATCTTCTCACCCCCCACACCTCTGGCCTATACCCCAGCTCTTCTACACATACACAAAAAACCCTGACCCAACTCGTCAGTTGTCTCAAGATGGGGCTAACAGAGACACAGCACACAGAATGTTAGGGAATATCCCAAACCAACAACAACAAAAAAAACCTCAACACATTCATGAGGCCAAGTGGCTCAAGTGCACAAAAATATGAGAGACAAGCTAAGGCTTTTTTCATAAAATCTAAGATTGAAGTAGTAGCTGTAGGGGAAAGACATGGAGGGCAGGAGGCCATGTCCATAAGAGTTTACTACATTTGGGAGTGATTTCAAAACAGTATCACATTCCATTTGGCCTTCACAACAACCTTTGGAATCACTGTTTTAAAACAAAGTATAAAAAAGCCTACAGTTAAACAGTGTAATAGTAGCCATCTTAGCTTGTGTAGTAAACTTTCCAAATCATTGGTAGGAGTGGAAGGGTAGAAAGGGCTGGCTCAATGTAACCAAAGATGGGGAAGTAACAAGAAGCAGGGGGGTAGGAGGCGGGAACAGCAAGGGAAGTTAAAGAAAATGCAAGAGGTGAACTCTTATCAAGACAAAGATATTTCATTTTGATCACTTATCTTGATGTGAATCTGGAATCTTTATATTAAACTTTTTTCCTGGAGGGAGGGAAGAAGTGAAAAAGACTTGATGATTTACTTACCCAAAGCAAAGTAGCTACAAGTGGCAAGATGAGACTCAAGGCCCAGAATTTTTTATTTACTTTTTTTTTTCAGATTTTAATTTTTGTGTAGAAGAACTAAAGTATAGGCCAGAGATGGGGTGGGGGGAGGGTGGTGGTGGTGAGAGGATTCACCAGAGACAGTGGGGAGCAGAACAGGCTGATTTACTGAAATACACTGCTGAGGGGAGCAGGTGAAAACAGGAGAGGTCTGCTGCAGTCTATGGGTTAGCTTCCTGCCTGGGAGTCAATTTCAGCAATAGTGGTGACAGTGCTGAGACTTAACACCCAGGTCACCAGGGAGGCCTTCAAGCCCAGACTCTGGATTCTACTTGCAGCCAAGTTTACTGAGTAGTCAAGAAGTAGGGGCTATGGTTCAAATTTGAAGTCTACACTTTTTAGCAGTATGGACTTGGTCAAATGACTAATCTAATCTTTATAAACCCCCAATGGGGTAAAAAATAGCACAGACTGCTGGGCCTTCCTGGTGGCAAATGGGTGAATTCTTAGCATTATGAAGCTATTGCAGCTGTTTCAGCGTGAGTTTGATCCCCCGCCAGGGAGCTGACCAACATGGCCCCGCAGACCTCTCCTGTCTCGCCCGCTGCTCCCTCAGCAGTGTATTTCAGTGTATTTGCCTGTTCTGCCCCCACCTCTGTCTCTGGTGAATCTTCTTACCCCGCAGCTCTGGCCTGTACCCCCAGTTCTTGTATGCATAAATAAGTAAAAATAGTATTAAAAAAAAATCACTGACCTAACATTTAAAAAATAAAATAGCACAGACCTCAATCACAACATTATTGCTACTATATTATTATTATTACATGCATGGATAGTCCAGAGAATTCATGAAATAGTCGATTTTGTTGCCATTCTACGGCTCTGCTATTACAAGATCCCTGGGGAAAGCGTTTATGCTCAATACTGTGCTCCTCCATTACTCTCACTGCCTCAGCGGAAGCACATCCATGGGGGACACTGTAAGGAGACCCCACCCTAGTGTCTCCCCACCAGCCTCAGCTCCCAACAAGCACATGCCAGCAGGCAGCCACACCAACTATGGCTTGCAGCGCCCTGCAGGGCAGGCCATGCCTTAGGGCCCCCGCCCGTCGCTCCCCCACAGGAAAGGCGCCCCGGCCCACGCACTCAGTCCCCACACTTCTCAAGACTACACTTAAGACACGGCTTTCTTCACCCTTGTGCCGCCTCTGTAATCAATCAAATGCTGTTACAATGGAGTCATTGCTTCTACCCAAGGCTAACATGTCACCCCAATCCCAACCCATCCTGCCCACTCGCAAACCCGTTTCAGCAGTTCTCCCCTCATTCTCTGACACCCAGTGAGTCTTGTGCTGTTAGATCTTGCAGTGGGAAGAGTCAATCTGGCTTGATCCACTCTCCCCCACCTTGCGCTCTATTTCGTGGTTCCTCTTCAAACTGCATTTAAGGGGGACCTATCCTCACCATGTGCAGTTCTCAGCTTCTCATTCCCCATTCAGCCTTCCACCCCCACTGCGCCGAAATCACCGTCAGGACCCCAGGCGGCTGAACCCAGCAGTCCTTCCCAGACCACCTCTTATCTCACAGACAACAGCATTTACTCCAACTATTCCTTCCTCCTCGAGACACTTTCTCCATTGGCTTCCCAGGTCGCATTACTTGTAAGTTTTAATCTACTTCACCAGCCACCCCTTAGCCACACTTCTGCCTCTCCTCCTCGATCTTCCAGAAGGCCCAAGGGTTCGCGTCCCTGAACCAATTCTCCATCCTCAGTCCTTGGATGGCAGCCTCGCTGCTTTCCATACTGCACACATGCTGAAAACTCTCCATCCAAGCCTCTCAACTCCCAGAGAAGTACCCCACTTAACTCCCAAAGAAGTAGTACCCAACCATCTAGTCTCCAATTAACATAATCAAAGTGGATTTGTACTATTCCCCACAAAACTGCTCCACATACCATCAGAGTCAACACAACACCATCCTTCTCACTGCTCCAGCCAGCAACGCGGGGTCATTCTTAACTACCTCTTTTTTTTATTTATTATTTATGTACAGAACAGCTGGGGTGCAGGCCAAAGGTGCAGTGGTGAGAGGATTCCCCAGAGACAGTAAGGAACAGAACAGTCACATCTATTGAAACACAATGGTCTGTATTTCACTGAGGGGAGCAGCGAGCAAGACAGGAGAGGCCTGCTGTAACATGTGGGTCAGTTCCCTGACTGGGGACGGAACTTGTCCTGCAGGGGCTGCGGGTAGCTTCACAGTGCTGTGCTTTAACCAACCCCTTGCACCACCAGGGAGACCCCTTACTACTCCTGCCCCACAATCAATCTATCCATAAATTTTAATGACTTCAACTTCAAAATATTTAAAATGTGGCTGGCTACCTACCACCCCTGCTGTTACCATTTTGCTTCCTAATTGGCCTACTTACTTCTGCTCTTGCTCTGCTACTTCTATTCTCAGCAAAGTGGTTTGCTTAAAAGTAAGTCAGGGGCCTTCTCTGGTGGCGCAGCAGGTTAAAGCACAGCACTAAGACGCTAAAGCCACTTCAGCATGAGTTCGATCCCTGCCCCAGAGGTGACCCACATGGTGCTCCTGACCCACTCGCTGCAGTGTACTTCGTCAGCTGGCCTGTTCTGCTCCCCACTCTGTCTCAAGTGAAGCCTCTCACTGCTCCTGCACCTTTGGCCTGTACCCCAGTTCTGTATGCATAAATAAATAAAATCTTTAAAAAAATATATTAAGTCATATCATATCACCCTACTGCTCAACCCCCTATGATAGCTCTTCTTTTACCACTAAGAGTAAAAGTCAGAGTCTTTGCAACAGCCTGTTAGCCTGAAATGCCCTTCCTCCTCATCACTGCTGTGACCTCAGCCACCACTGCTCCGCGCCCACCTTCTCACACTGCTCCAGGCACCTGTGTCAGTCCGCTCAAGCAGGCACCCTCTCACCTCTCCACCTGGGCACTGGCCACTCTCCCTGCTTGGATACTCTCCTCTCAGGAATATTCGACTCCCATTCTCACCTGTAAGTTATTGCTCACATTCGCTCCTCATTGAGGCCTTTGCTTTATCCCATTTAGGGCTGCAATCCCACCACTCCCGTCCCGCAGTGGCACTCCCCGGCTTGTTCTCATTTTTCAGAGCACTTATCATCAAACATATAAATGTTTATTATGTTGGCTCCCCAATTAGAATATACACCCCACAACTGGATTTTATCTGTCTTGTTGGATAAATATTTCAAGTGCCCAAAGAACAGTGCCAGGTGCTCAATAAACATTTGTTGAATGATTGGTAGCACTAGTTAACATCACATTACATTTTTAAAGGAACCACCTTCCTATTTTAAATCAAAACTCCCTAAGGACTGAGAATGTATATTATCCTGGGCTTTTAATAAACATTAATTGATCACAGAGTAGCCTATGCAAAGGGTTGAGCTTTATCAGGTGTACAAAATACATGAAGACTCGAAATAGAAGAATCAAATAGCTGTATGATAAAAGAAATTACCACAAAAAAACTAATAAGAATGAGCTTAGGCCCTCCATGTGGCACAACCGGTTAGGATGCAGTACTGCAAGCCAGCCGCAGCCACTTCAGTGCGAGTTTGATCCCTGGAAGTGACCCACATGGCGCAGCAGACCTCTTCTGACCCACCCGCTGCTCCCCTCAGCAGTGTTCTTCATTGATCTGCCTGTTCTGCTCCCCACTCTGTCTCTGGAGAATCCTCTCATCACCCTTGCACCTCTGGCCTGTACCCCAATTCTGTTTGCATAAATACATAAATCTTTAAAATAAATAAATAAACCGTTCTTTAAAGAAAAAAAGTGAGCTTATGCAAATGCTACACAACAGCGAATATGGAGTACCTGGATGGTGCCCCTTCTTTGTCCCCAGATAATAAATATGATGGGGGCACTCATCGAGGATACACCCTCTGAAGCATCTAACCTGCGGGACGGTGGTCTCCAGGTTGTAGTGTTTATTCAGGAACTTCAGCAGTTTCTGTGAGGGTCGGTCGATGGCCAGTTGGTGTGGTTCAACTCGCTCCTTCTGCAGGGAACAGGTGACTCAGGGTAGGAGTTGTGGAGAGAGCATGCCAACAGAAACCCGTGAGCCTGCTGAGGGAATCAGAGCTCCCTCCACGGGGGCTGGAGGGTGGGAGGCACGGCCTCTGGAAGGTTTTAGGGCAAAGGGTCTTTGATCTCATTTTGGATACACTGGTGAAGAGATAAGTAGTACCTGCAACATATAATGGAAGAGTTCTCGCCCGTGGCCATGGCGCTGAAGTGACTCATGGATGTAAAAGTCCAGGATGCACAGTGGTTCTACCTCATTGTGAGCCTCCCGGTCATCCTAAGAGGTGAAGAACAACAAATACCTTTGAGGATCCAGACACACTGCTGCCTGCCAATCTCCAGCACTGTTGTTCTCAGGAACAAAGGCACAGGAATTCATAGTTTCTAGTAACACTTACCAGTACAAAGAGTTTCTTGTATCCAACTTTGAGGAAGCCAACAATGGCTCCTTTTCCAGCCCTGTAGGATGGGGAGAATGAAGCAGCTGGAAATGGGAGGGCAAAGAGACGCAGCAGGGCTGGGGGAGGGAGGAATTAAGTACAACAGAAGAGCATCTGGCACTCACGGGCGCGCTGATGTGTCTTTGAGCACATACATGACATGGCGGTTACTCTGCATCCTCGATGCACTAGTGATAGGGGCAGGAAGGTGCTGAGCCTGCCAGGGAGGTGAAGAGAGATTTTCTGCAGGTCCCTTCCAAAGGACCCAGGCCTGCCTTATCTGTTGTCCCCAGAGAGGCCTCCTCTTTGCTCCATCTAAAGACTCCCCAAATACCTTAGCAGAAGCCTTGCCCAGTTCGTCTACAATGGTCATGATTTGCTGCTGAAGATCAATACTATAGAAAGGAGACAAAAAGTCAGATGCTGAATTAGAGGGTCCCTGAGCAATGACCCCCTGGAAACCTGGGCCCCCATTCTAATCGCGGTTCAGGACTTAAGGCTCTGTGACTTTACCTTGGGGTCTTCCTCTCTGGGTTTCCACCCCACCCTGGGACCCAAACTGAAGCCGCACCTCCTGTCAGTTGGCGTGGTACTCCCTCCTCCCTTGGGGCTCTTATGGGGAGTCTGGAAGGTCCGGTCAACCACATCCTTAGGTTGGGACCACATACTGGCTCCGGGGGTGAACGGTCACAGAGCCAAACACGCCTCAACCCCACTAGGTCTGCGGTCAAAGGTCACGAAAAGGGCGAGCCTGGGCATCAAAAGGAGCGGCCGCCAGAGTGAGAAGGGGGCGTGGTGCCTGGCCAGGTTTCCAGAGGAACCAGGACGGAGGGGCCTTGGGGTAAGTTTGAGGTGTCACCGGGCCGGCGTTGTGGTTCCGGGTCGGCGGGCTGGGGGCCGCAGGTGCTGGTCCAGCACCGTGATCCGCTCCGGGAGCAGCGCGTCCACATCGAACGGGAACTCCATGGCCCATTGTGCGCGGCCGGACCGCCCCGCGTCACGTCACTTCCGCCCCGCCCTTCGAGGTCTCCTTTTCCGCGCCCCCAGCCCAGCCCGGGCCCACCCCCAGTGGTAGCATCCCCTATCCAGCCCGCTACCCAGCGCCCTGGCAGGCGGTGTGGGAGACCCCGTTCCTGGGGCCAGCGCAGCTGTCCTTCAGCAAGGCCACGCCCCGTGGCCGTGAGTGCCATGGCAACGCAATTTCCCCTAGGCCTGGTGGCATTCCCCAACTCTTTGGCCCTTTAGCTGGGGGGGCTGGCGGGTGAACTCTGCCTGGGCACTGGGTCCATGACGGAGTCGTGACAATACACACTGCTCATCTCAAGGGCTCTGGCCCCAAGCTTCACTGGTCAATGGTGGGGCTCACTCAAGCCCTATCACTTGTTTCCCACATGCTCTCCCTCCACACACACACCAAGAATGACGTTCACCTGAAACAGCGCAGCCACAGCAGATAGTTTATTGTAGAAAAGTGGACTTGGCAGAAGTCCGACATAGCAACAGAACATTCAGTTCATCTAGTCACAAAATGCAGGGGTCAGGGGTTTTCCACACACTGTACTGTCCTTCCTTGGCCTCAGGTTATTGATCGCTTCAACTATTTCCTTTCTCTGGCCCTAGGCCTCCCATTGCCAACAGAACAGCTACAACTTTTCAGGGTGAAATTGCATCACGAAATTCCTAGACATGATTTCATAACCCCTTGGGCTTCCTTCCCATTCAACAGCTTCTCCTACAGAGCACTCTAGAGGCCTGCCTGCTCAGTGGGGGACTGAGCACTCTGGGGGCCAGCCTGCTCAGAGGCAGATGGAGCACTCTGGGGGTCTGCTTGCTTAGGAGCAGACTGAGCACTGTGGGGGCCTGCCTGCTCATTGGGGGACAGAGCACTCTGGGGGCCTGCCTGCTCAGAGGCAGATGGAGCACTCTGGGGGTCTGCCTGCTCAACGTGGGAGGCTTCAATTGAGGTTGTAAGGGGAACCTGGGGCATTGACGCAGGTGGGGGGCCACTTTCTTCTTTGAGATGGCCCTGATAGAGCCGGCGAAGACGGGCCAGCTCTCTCTCTGGTGGTTGTTTCCAGCTGTACCATGGGTACCAGGGGTCACCTGAAACCAGGGTGGGGGCTGGCGGAGTAATACTGACAGCTCCATGAGAGGTGCTGAAGTCAAGGTCGCGAGGTTCAACCTGGGGAATGTGGTAACTGAGGAAACCTGGAAGATAAAAAACAGAAAACATTTGAGGGCTGGAATGGGGTTGAGGGAGAGAGTAATTCAGATTAACAGAGTAAGGGAAGTGAGCTACAATGGGAAGAGCCCAGCCACTGAGCACATTTATGCATGCTGCACAGTGCACCAGATCACCTGGCCAAGGGGAGTGTGGGTCGACAAGCCTGGGCTCTTGCCTGCCAAGTCACACAGCCCAGCACCAGGCCCAAGAAGCTGCACTGCCCTAGTGGAAGGGCACCTTTTCCTAATTGGTGCAAAGATGTCATCAGGACGTGAAATTTACAGAGATTCTCCTATGAATTGGCTATGGCACTGGGACCAACAGGTATAAAACAAGAGGGGCGGCCCTCCCTGGTGGCACAGCAGATTAAAGTCCTACACTGTGAAGGTATCTGCAGCCACTGCAGCAAGAGTTTGATCCCCAGCCAGGGAGCTGACCCCCATGGCGCAGCAGACCTCTCCTGTCCCACTCGCTGCTCCGCTCAGTTGATCTGCCTGTTCTGCTCCCCACTCTGTCTCTGGTAGATCCTCTTACCCACCACACTTCTGCTTGTACCCCAGGTCTTGTTGCATAAATAAATAAATCTTAAAAAAAAAAAAAGAGGAGTAAGGGAATGGGTAATCATAAGGTGAGAGACGTAGAAGAGGGAACAAGGACAGTGGAATGATGACAGAAGAGACTCAGAAAAACGTGTAGTGTGCTATCTTCTCAGATATCCACCCCCTTGAGCCCTAATTCACCTCCTTTATGCCTAACCAAAGTGCTCTGTGCCCATCTCATGCTTACCGTGATCCCTGGCTTTCTGGATGGCCTGGGTCAACTTCTTGTGCTGTTTCATACAGATCCCTAAGTGAGGAGAAAAGACAGTAATTCAGCACTCGTCCCATAGAGCACAGAAACTAAACACACTAAACACTAAAGACACTGGTCCCTTCAGTCTTTTACAGCTTGACTACAAAACTCCTCGACAAGTGCTTCTCCACTGGCCCTGATGACACCTCCAAGTGGGGGATTCAGATGCCTCTCTGCCAGTGTGTCTTGCTTTAGAGCAGGGGTTGGCTAGATTTTCTGTGCAGGGCCAGTCTCTGTCTCAGCTAATCAACTCTACTATGGCCTGGAAATGACTGTATATAATATGAAAGGGTGGCCCGTGACCACAACTAAGGAGCAGATGTAATTCTGGATTTGTTAAGCTTACAAAATCAAACTAAAGAAATTCAACTGGATTGTGAATGGTATAAAAGGACCCATATAATCGCCAGTTTATGAGCAGGCTTCTGGACAAGTGAAGAGACTATACAGAAAGGCAGTGTCACCACCATTTATCTTTTAAGAGTTACATTTCAGTAGTTTATATGGACACTTGTCTGGATCTCTGTCCACCTGTAATTGTTTTGGCCTGTGAAGATCTCCATGAAACCAAGAATGCCAAAAAGTTCACTCACACTTTTTATGCCCTAAATAGGAGCCACCCAGCAAATACCCTTGGTCTGACTGTATAAACAAGCGTTCTTCTAGTGGTGACAGCCAACGGGCTAACCTGTATAAGGAGCATGGAAGATGATGCCCGTGTGAGCGCAGACAAACTGTTCCAAGAGCTTCACGTTCTATGGAGGAGAGTGGTGGAGAAACATGAGAGGGAGGGTGGAGCAAGACCTGTAGGCACTGACATGTCCACCCTCGAACCCACCCACAGGGTGACCTGCCCCATGGAGATGCTGCAACTACTACCCACCATGACATCCCAATTTAGAGCCATCATCTCACTGAACACATTTTCGAAAACTGAAATTTTTTCCCATTTTCTGGCCTTCCAATTACTATACATGCACATCTTACATCCTGCCACTGAGACTCACAGAACTCTTTTTTCTACAGGGTCCTTTGTGCAAAAAAAAAAATTGGGACATTCATTTGGCAATCCCTGAAATCACCAAGAAAATGCAGCACATGTTGTATGACACATGTATAAATGATTAATGTATAAACATAGAGCATGCTGTGCATAATACACTGATATTATTAATATTAATTTTACAGGGCCTTCCTGATGGTACAATGGGTTAAACCTCAGCAAAATGAAGCTACCCCCAGCCACTGCAACATGAGTTCAATTCCTAGCCAGGGAGCTGACCCACATGGCCCAGCAGGCCTCTCCTGTCTCACCTGCTGCTCCCCTCAGCAGTGTATTTTAGTAGATCCATTTGTTCTGCTCCTCTTTCTGTCTGGTGAATCCTCAAGCACCCCCCCCCCACTCTGAACTACACCCAGTTCTTACATGTGTAAACAAAAATATATTTTTTAAAAGATTAATGTTACAGTTCTAATTACAGGAGCTGACAGTCCCAAGGAAAAAGCTGGCACACTTGGGGAATTGAGTGGCAGGCAAAATGATCTGCACTATTCAATCTGTAATCTTTCTCTCTCCCTTAGTTACACAACTGATTGTAAACTATAAAATTGGCTATGTCTTTTTTATGACCAATCATACACAGTTGCATTTGAGAAGTTATCTATTTGTTTTCTCTATAACTTGTGTCAGAAGGTAACTAACAGTAATCAGATACCCCAGCGGCTCACACACAAATGCCCTCCAACTCCCTGATGACCAGCCATTCAGCTCCCACTCTAATACCTTCACTATAAGGTCAGAAGAACACTTTTCCATTTTTATCTTTAAAATTTTTTGAAGGCCCACCTTGGTGGCACAACAGGTTAAAACAAAGCACTATGAAGCTATCACAGCCACTGCAGCATGCGTTTAATCCCCAACCAGGAAGGTGACCTACATGGCATAGAAGACCTCTCCTGTCTCACTGCTGCAGTATTTCAATCTGCCTATTCTGCTCCCTGTTCTGTCTCTGGTGAATCCTCTCACCCCCCGCACCTTTGGCCTAGTTCTTGTATGCATAAGTAAATAAATCTTTAAAAGAAATAAAAGTTTTTTAAATCCTTTAAGGAACTGATCCTGTTCTTCTGACAATGAAGACCTTTTGAATAAATACCTACACCCTATACCTCGCTTCATGGATCTGTCCTACAACTCTAAGTCTCAGGATGCCACCAAACGTCAATATAAAAAATAGGAATTTCGGCACATTGTTCTTCCATGAGGACTAAGCATTTTTTCTTGCCTGCCAATTTATAATGTAAATTTCATGAGTAAGGAATGAAACTTTTTAGTATAGTACATATTAGAAGGCAAAAGGGTAGTAGGATGGCTGTTTCTATATTGCTAGAAAGTCAGTACAAAATGAACTGTGGGGGTGCTGGAACATGAAGAATTGGGCACCCACAATCTTACCCTTATCCTAGAAAAAGATCCTCCTTACCCTAAAGTCAACATGCAGCTTGTGATCCCGGCAGATGGGACAGGGGTTCCCAGCAACTTTATCTTTACGCTGTAAAGAGAAAAAACTGGCATGTGTGAAGATATTCAAGGACCTGTCAGAAAAAAAGTGTTGCTGCCACTGTCACTATCGCTTCACACCCCCCCCTTCCACATCCCATCTATGTGTCACCTTTAGAAACTCACAATACATGATTTTCGAGTCCGTTGCGGGGGTACTCCACCTTTGTGGTTGCGACGGTAGTCAGCCCAGACAGGACGAGAACCATAGCGGCTCTGGTATTCTGAAAGACCACACAAGTTCTTCCTCAGTGAAGGCATCTGTGTCCACTAATTTCAGACCCCACCATACCCTTCCCATTTAAAGGTACCTTCTGAATCTAGGTATTTCCAGGGCTCATCCTTATAAGGAGAAATGGGAAGTGAGGACAAAGAATCTTCCTCAGGGGAGGCTTTGGAACAAAGATTCTGGTGGGAAACCTGAAAAGGGAGAAGAGAAAATAAAAGAATGAGTTTAAGGAAGGGGCATGACTGTTTTTGCTACCCACACCTTAGATAGAAGGGGAACACACACTTAATAGAACATTAGGAATATATATGGAAGTTGGGATTAAATCAACATTTATCAACACTCTCCCTCCAACCAGATCCTGTAATAGAAGCTAATGTTAGAAAATATCTAGGATAGGCAATTTGGGGGCCATCTTATTAGAGAAGACAAGTTAAAAACCTGACAAAGTTTTGCTGTCTTTTTTTCTGATGAATCTGCAGGAGGAAAAGGAAGAAGGGATGTCTAGCTTCTTGGAAGATATGGGAGCAAAGAAGGAATGCAAGGGCAGGTGAGTCTCCAACCCATTCTTAAATCAGAGTTGCCCAGCCTTATAAAACGTTTAAGATCAACATTCCATAGGGAAGAACAAGCTTGAGTCCTAACGCTAGCTTTAAAGCCACCGTGTCTATTATTAACTCCGTGGTGGCCCTGGTCGCCACTCTGCAGTCCCACTTTAGGGAGTGGCAGCTGGGCAAATCTTCCTACCTCATCCTGCCCTGCCAAGAACCTGCCCTGCCCTGCCAAGAACCTCCAGGGTGGTGAGTACATGAGGCTGGAGGGAAACTTCAATCCCGATGACTGAGTTAAACTCTCATGTGTGCTCTAGTAACAAACTGATTTTGTGAGACAGAACTGAGAAAACTGGTCGCCAGGCCGTGAGAACGTATGCTGGTTTTACTGGGACAGAGGACCGGTAGAACCCCCAGGACACTCCAGGATATCAGAGATTTAGAAGCTGTTTAACTATGCATGAACAAGGGGTCCATTCCTTCATCTACGTATTTAGCCAATATGTAACTTGGGAAGAGAATGACATCTAACCCCGGGTCAGGTAGAGAAAATGGGAGCAGGATAGAGGAGGGAGTGGTGGAAGCAAAGTTTTGACTTAAGTGCCGAGGCATAAACACTAGGGAAGGCATCCGCTCCTGGAATCACACTACTGAGCGACGACCTAGAGAAGGCAACTAAATTAGGATTGTGTAAAATGTGCTCCAAGGAGTTACCTGAACTCCGTAGGCGCCTCTGAAGGGCGAAAGCATAGGCAGGCGCCTCAGCAGCACATTCAAGACGGAGGCCGCCATCTTGACGCACGGCCAAAGGGGGGGGGAGGGTGTCGGCAGCGCGAGCGCGCATGCTCCGGGAAACAGCCACCGCGAGGGGCTGGAACGAGCCCGCACTGCAGGCGACGGCAGCGCATTTGCGTCAGGGCGGAAGCGTGAAGGGAGGGGTGGGGTCAGGGGAGAAGTCAATTTCAACTGCGTCACAATCGAATTCGGCCTCAAAATTGCTTTTTTACTCAACCGCTCACTACGAATCTTAGGTCGTGTCTGTACAATTTGCCTTTTAAGCAATTTTGAAGGTTATTTTGAACGAGAGCCTCCCAGTACGCATGCGCCGACCCAGTTCTACCAACCCAGGGTGAGAAATATTCTCGGCAGCGGAAGTGGTGGAAGCAGAGGAAAGGGAAGTGCTAAGTCCTTCGATCACGCGCACGCGAGGGGGGGGGTCATGAAGGAGGCGGAAGAAGGAGCTGGGGGGAAGGGGCTGAGCGAAGTCGGAGGAAGATAGCCAATCAGCTGGCGAGTTGTCCTTCGGGTTAACCAATGAATTCACGCCTCGCGCACAATGTCTCGCGACAAGGGCGTTTCCCCAGCACGTTTAGGCGCGTTGGGCGGTGTCCGCATATAAAAGACTCCGCCCGATCGGGCATCCGCCATTCTGGGGTTCGTTTAGAGGTAAGTTTCGGTGTGTTGTCGGTTGGAGTGTAAGATTTTTGCCGATAGTTTTGTCCCGGGGAGCCGATAAAGTATGGGTTCAGGGGGGAGCCACGGCTTAAAGCGGCTGCGTTCGGGCGAGGCGTGGACGTGTTGGGTAAACAAAGGTTACTCCGGAGTCTTTAGGAGCAACCCGTATTGATTATATCTTTCTCCCTTGTGTTCCTTCTATCCCAGGTTTGAATTCTCTCGGAGAAAGACAGGCCGGCCACGAGGAAAAAGAAACAAGCCGCAGCAACGTCTAAGCCCTTGAAAGGATCCTGAGAGAGGGGGGAAAGGGAAAAGAGCAGCCACCAGCCCAACCACTTGTGTCTTCCGCCCCTTCCCTCCTATCTTGCCCACCCCACCAGCCCACGCTGCTTGGGACTTGAAATCGTGACCGAAGGACCGTCACCACATAACTTCAAAAATAATCAACCACCCTCCCTCCCCAAACCCACCCAAATTCACTCATCCAGCGGTTCCTTTTTTGAATCCACTCAGAACTTTTTTTCTACGACCCCCCTCCCTAAATGGAGTTGGGTGGGGGGGAATATGAATACTGAATTGGCCTTTTATTTTTTTTTAGACTTTTTGATCCAATGAGGCCCCCCAAATAACTGAGTTTTGGGTCCTGGTTGGTTGTTTTATTTTTTTTTCTCCAAAATCTTAACCCCCTCCCCCCTGAGCCCGAGGTGCTGACGTCGCAAAAAAATTGGATAGTAAGTGTCGAATTTTCAAAAACCAGCCTTGCAACAAGAAATCAACGTTTCCCGTTGTGAAACCAAAAATAATGAGAGGAAGAAATGAGACCGTAGAACTGGAGAAGGACCAAGCCGGTCACTTAATCTCCATTAAAAAGGGCCTTTGGGTCTAAACAGTCTGTTCTCTCTCCCCTGCCACCTACCTCTTCCTGCGCTGCTGCAGGCAAGGAGCGGGTGGAGGGAGGGCCCGAAAGTAAGGCTTTTTATGGTTAACCCTTGGTAATCCAGCCAATTTCCAGACTGCCAAAGCCATAAGTGTTTGCTTTTGATAAGGAGGAATGGTTAACTTCCTCTCGGTAGCTGCAGTCTTCAGAAGGGTTAATGAGCTCACATACAAAAGATGGTGGATCTTGTGGCCCAGAAGTCCCACTTCTTTGTGTGTGAGACAAACAAGGCGCCTTTCAATTTGCCAGATTAATAAGCAATCTGTACATAAAGATTGCAGGGTAAGGAGAATGGGCAGAGAAAAGTAATAGCCGGCTATGACTTTAAATGATTGTTAAAATCCTCTCAATTTTAATGTAATTTGCTTGGGATTTATTGTGTTTAAAATAGGTGGCAATCTAGGAATAAAGATTGCAAGACACTTAATCCAGGGCAAAATATAATCTTAGTTCCAGTACATACAAGATATTAGTTGGAGTGGTAATGTTTTGTAATTGTTGCAAATTGCATAGGTTATTTTAAAAGGCAAAGTGATTAACATTTTAACTTGATACTTTTTCGTGGGGGGTGGAATACTAAATTGAGGGTGGGAAGGTGGGGAAATGTGGAATTCAGGAGTATATTTAAAGCCATTTAGTGCAATTGAATGCTAGCTTTCTAAAAGATTTGTGTCGTTAAAAGGAATATTTTTCTTCCCTGCTTCAATATGGCGACTTTCCTTGTCCTTTTGTCTTTCAAGCGGCGTTGCAGGTTGTGTCTTGACCCATTTTTCTCCTGTCCTCCCACCTCAACCCTATTTGTTGAGAGAGGTCCAAGTCCTCCCCCTTTACGTTTATAAGAAATGGGGGTGGTCGATCGTAGCAGAAATTAGTTACAAATTCAATTCCCCACAGGAAATTGTTCTTTTAATATTTTAATTGCTTTTATTTTCACAATGCTCCTGATTCAAAATAGGTTAAAAAAAAAAGACTCAGGACGGAGTGGGGGCTGGGTTTTGATTTTTACTAAGAAAGGGCGTTTTTAAGGTAACGCGCTCCGGCAGAGCTGGGATAGCTTTTTTTTTTTTTTCGAGTTTTCCTCTTTACAAAATGGCGTCCCTGCTTCTTTGTTGTTTTTCTTCCCCTTTTGCCATCCAGAGCTTAGGGCCGCCTTAGAAACTTGATCAAGGGGGAGGAGCTGCATTGAAAGGTGATGTAATCATCCTCCCTCCTCTCTCCACCCTCTTGAAACTCCACCCCTGAGCAGATGCCTTCTGGACTCCTGTGCACGCTACTGCTCGATAGGAAGAGATGATTTCCTTGTTTAGCGATTTATCTTGTCTTTTTCCTGAAAGGGAAAAATTACAGAAACTAGGTCTTGAAACTGCCTAACTCTTTGGGCAGCTCTAGTATTTAAGTTTTAACAACCGGCCTATTGCTTTTATTTTCACCTTCTCTTCACTCATCACCACTGCTTGAAAGTTTCCCTGCTTCAGTTGCCAGGGCTGGAAAGTCAAACCAAATATACTTTTTGAGACGGTGGGGGTGGCCTTTGTAAGGGGGGGATTGATGGAATATGTATGTGTCGGGATACTGGGACAAAACCAGGGCTTGTGTAAATAGACAAATGGGGCCTCGTGACCCTGAAATGTCCTTTTTGCTCCAGGACCACTCCTTAGGCCTCCTGCCTTTGGTGGCTTTGTATGAGAATCTGGGGGGAGGTGGGTACTTTAGGACTTCTAAATAGCCCTCATTCCCACCTCTGGGTTTGGGGATAAACTCTTTGTGTTCAGTGCTGTGTCACAGTCTCCAGTTGCTTAGCTCCTGTACATTGGTACTATGATGAGAAGTGAATCTTTAGGAAAGGAGGCGGCAGTTGTAAACTCAAGGCAGGGGGAGTCAAGCTACGGTTTCTGGTAAGCAAAACCTTTCTGGTATTACATTTCACAACCTTCATTTCTTTTTTTTTCCAAAGAGCCACCTACTTTGAATTTCTTTGCCTTTCCCTTCTAAAGGAAATTCCTTAAAACACTGGGGAAATTACGTCCTCTTCATTATTCAGCTCTGCACTGCTGCAGCAACTGGTGCATGCTCTAAAGCCATGCCCTGTCTGAGGGTGGTATTGGGCGTCCTGTCCCTCTCTTCAATTTTTTCAAGGTCAAATCTTTATCAGATTCTACATATACTTTTCATTTCTTTTAAGTCTGCATTGAAGCATGGAGGTTCTAGGCAGAATTGGAAAGCCATTTTGCACAACTGTCCTATGGTGACTTGGGTGAGACTTCAGGGCTAATTTCCTACCGGGTATGGCTTCTCAAATTATTTCTTGAACTTGGATTGGATGGGAGGGGCTCTTCCCCATGTCTATTGACCACAAGTTTTTTCTTTTAAGCAGTTTGCCATGTTCCTCTGCAGCATACCTTCCGTGGGAGCTGAACATTCTATCCACTGGGGCTCCTGATCTCTAGTGACCAGGCAGTTAATAAAGAAGATCTTCCTTAACATGGGAGATGGGAAACGAGGTCTGCTAGAGAAACCAAATCCACCCAGAAAACCTCCAGAGAATCTGATCCTTGTAGTTTGTTGCCAGCGTTCTATTCTGGGCTTCTTTCCTATGGTGGGGCGGGTTGGTGAGTTTTACATCCTTGCTGAAAGCAAATAAGCTTTTGGAGAGATCCTGTACCGGGTTTTGCAAAATGACTTTGAAGGAAAGGGACTTAACTAATGAGGGGTAGCTTGTGAACCACCTGAGAGACATTGAGTCATGCTAGAAAAATGCTTCCGACACTGAGCAGAGGAGCCCCTCTGTAAAGTAACGTAGGGGGTTAGGTACAAAACATTTCCTTTTCCAGAAAAGCTAAGATCTTTAAGTAATGGTAATGTCCAACTCCCTTCTTTGTTAGAAGGGTGTTGTGATTTTCTCAGAATTTTTGTCCTAAGCCAACTCACTTCACTGGTGTTGGGTAGAGAATAGCTTCAGCCAAGTTAGTATTTTTCACCCTAATATTTAATTGAATAACTGGCAGGTAAAGTTATCTTGGCTGCAGGAGTTCATTGTCTGGTCATTAACGGATCAGAGTAGAAAATTCACTAATGCCTTTTGCCAGGCGCCTATCTGCCTGCAACACCCTCCGTTAGGAAAGCTTAGTTTAGGATGAGGTGGAGATGCAGGGGCAGTTTCCCCCTCCCTTCCCTCTCTGTATGTTCTGCTGTCAAGGAAATGAAGAGAAAACATGACCTGGGTTATTTTTGGTTGCAGAAAACTTGCTCAGGCTTTCATTCCAGACTAGGTGCCGTTGATGTAGCCCCTGGTGGCTGCTGTCCTCCCTGGTCAGCTCCCCTTCCACACTGTCGGCCTGTGCCAGGAACTCAGGCTCTTCATTCCTTCCCACATGAGTGCCTTGGGATTTCCTTCAAAATGCACTGACTTCAAAGTAGAGAAGTAAGGTTGGAAGACATTTGGGCTCCTTGATTTTATGAGCAAAAGGTGCCTGGTGGA